CCACCTATGACAGGGTAAACCCACATCATGTGGGTGGGGGGACTATGCTTTTCACTATATCCCCCTCCCAGTTGTTTACACAGGCCGTCCACCTAAGACAGGGTAAACCCACAACATGTGGGTTAGGAATGTATCCAGCTCATACTTTACACCCCTACTATTAGTTAATATATTTAAAAATATTTCCAAAAAGAGTTCTCAAGCATAACTATATATTTTTTTTAATTCATGAAATCATTACCCCAAACGTCAATTCACTTAGTTAGTAGCATGAGTAAGGCCTTCTAATTCATATTGTATAAATCTTTTTTATTTACAAAATTGCTATAATTTTGCATCTTAAACATTACAACCATATTTATAAGTCAAATAATATACAATATAAGAAATTATATCGGAAGAAACAAATCAATATAAGAATTACTATTATAATAACTAGGAAACACATTCTTACTAAACAAAATATTTAGTTTCAATGTTTAAAAATTTACAAATTATTTAACAATCTAAATACTTTATTATTATAAATAGAATACATATATTCATATACATTTTGAAATGACAATATAGTGATAGGCACAAATAATTTATAATTATTATTATTTCAGTCTATATCTAGTGTGACTATAAATTTTATACTTTTCAAGAAATCTGTCAGTATTTGGTTAATATACATAATCAAAAATATTTCCAAACAATTTTTTAAATAGCTAATAATAATAAAATAATTATATTTTTTTAAAATATAAGAATATAATATAATTATACAAATTTAAGTGTTGAATTTACAGTGTACTTTATTAATATAAATCATTCGATTTTTCTTAAAATAACAACTATTATAAAAACTTGATTTGGCATTTTTAAGTTTCATACATGTTTTATAAACATTAAAAATTGATTATTGAATATTGTTTATCAATAATTACTTTATTTAAAGTCAACAGTGTATAAAAATCATAAGCGTCTTGTACATAAAAGTCAAAGTAAGAAATCATATATTCTGCAAAGCTTCCCTTATAATCTTTATGAGCTAACTTAAAATCATTGTATTCTTTTGTATATGAAGGTATGTGATCAATAACGTTTTCATAAAAACATAAATTTTTTGAAGAATTATAAATTTTCTTAAATAATTTATCTAATATTTTTTTCAAATTACTTGTAAACAAATCATCATCTTTAGGTATTCGCATATTTACTATGGACTCTAGTTTTGATAAAAGTGCGTCAGTAGAACTTACATAATCTTTACCATCAGGGAATAAACTTTTAAAAAACTTTACATACAACTGAAGTCTACGTGCTAATTCTTTATATTCATTGATTTTTCTTATAAGCAAATTCTTTATTTGTAAGGTCATTGTTCTATCTTGTGTTTTTATTTCATCATCACAGATAATTTCATAACCAGTATTTATGTATACCAAAAATCGATTACAGAGCTTAATATTTTCCCAACACTTACATTTTACGAATTTTAAAATTAAATCTACCTTTTTTTCATAATTGCTTTCATTAACATACAAATATATTGACGAAAGTAATTCAACAGACATTTCAACAAATTGTGTATTATTCTGATGTATATTTATATTGTCGTTACTATCAAAGATTGTATAAACTCGTATTTTTTTATCTCCACTTCTAACTTTTATATCTTTGAATTGATCCCATATCTCCACATTCACAAGTATTTCATTAAGAAGATGAATTTTTTGACATTGGTCTAATTCGGTTAATATAAAATTTGACAGTAGTGATTGAATTAAAATAACGATTAATACAAAACAGTTTAGAAAATTCATATTTAACAATATAAAAGTTTAAATAAATAGTATAAATTTTTATAAATCGAAACTAATGAACACTAACATACAAAACTTGTATTAAGATCTATGTATAGTGTAATGCCATTTTCTAATTGTCTTTAGTTATTTATTTTAAGTAGACATATAAATGATTTATGAAGCCAACTGTACATTTTTTTATTTATATTTCAAGTTATTTACTTAAATTTTAAAAATATTTATTTTAAAATTCCTTATTTATAACATAAATCATTCGAATTCGTCGCTTTTAAACAATGAAGTAATATACAAATTTAACAAAAATAAAATTATAAAGTGTGAAATTCAAATATTATATTTATTACTACTTCGTATGTTATTTATTAAGTATTTTTTTATTCATCTGTAATACGTTACAGGAACTTCGATATTATTGTTTTTAATGAAAACTTACATATATAACTAGCATATGAAATAACAAATGATTTAATTAAGAAAATTACTGGACGATTACTACTTTTGACCCAGTAATCTCTAGTCTCTAGTCTCTAGCTATATACTAAAATCTCAGCCCCTCTAAATAAGCTCTACCTGGAAGAAATATTACCTTTTTTACGCTTTAAAATCTCTAGTCTCTAGTCTCTATCTCTCTCTATATACTATTTTACTAAGCCCCTCTAAATATGAGCCACCTGGAAGAATTTTACGTTTTTTCCGTTTTAAAATTCGCTTTTTTCTTTTGTATTCGCCTCTTCGGTACCGTTCCGCGGCGCTTGCGGTCCCGCGTCTTTTCCGACCTTTGCTCGAATTTTTCGCCTTCCCCGTTTTCTTGAGTTCGCGAATTTCGCTATTTCTTGGAACGCGAAATAGGGGAGCGCGCCTCCCACTCGGCCTGTTTTCGTCGTTATCATCGCGCTATTTTGTGCGTCGTCTATTCTGTCCTTATTTCAATATAGTGTATTGACTGTATTCTTTTATTAATATGATTTTGTACATTTTTCAGTTCTATTGCGATTTATAAATGACTAATTTTCGAATTTTTTTCAATTTTTTATACTAAAAACTGCCGTAACTTTTTTAAAAATAAACATATCAATATAATTTTTTTTTTTATAGATGCATAATGTCATTATTTATCATTTGGTATATTTTTTTTTTATATCTGACCCTTTACCTGCCAATAGGGGGGGATTTAAAATGACAACTTTAAAAAAAAAAATTAATTTTTTCAACTTAACTTTTGAAAGTGTTCCGGAAGGTCTGACACTTTTATATATATCTTAAATTAAAGTTAATGTAATATACTTTAATATGAAAAAAAAAAATTTGGACTTTATTTTATCTTTATGGTGAAAACAGACATTAAACTTAATAAAAAAAATACGATTTTTGTTAAAAAATTATTTTTTATATTTTCAACTTTATAATGCTATAACTTTTTGAAAGATGTATGGATCAATATAATTTTTTTTTTTAGATGCATGATGTCATTACCTTTCATTTGGTATATTTTTTTATAAATATGACTTTTTACCTGCCTACAGGGGGGGATTCAAAATGACAACTTTTTCACAAAAAAATTACTTTTTCAACTTAAATTTTGAAAGTGTTCCGGAAAGTCTGACACTTTTTTATATATATTAAATTAAAGCTAATGTAATCTACTTTATTATGTAAAAAACAAATTTCGGACTTTATTTTGTTTTCACGATGAAAATGGCTACCAAATGCTATTATTGTGTGAAAATTCTCAATTTTATTTTTTACATTTTTAACTTTATAATTCTATAACTTATTGAAAAGTGTATTGATCAATATAATTATTTTATGGGAAATTCTATTTTTTAATAATCCCTTTTTCATTTGACATATTTTATCTTAATCAGGATATTAATAAGGAAGTAGCAGTTTATGAAGCTTTTGGAATAATCCACCAATTTTTTAAAATTAAACACTATCTAAAGATTTGCATCGAAGCGTTTTTTTTTGATAGTGATTTTAATCACTGTCAGATATCATTATACTTGATCCATCTATACCACGTCACCACTGTGCCGCGACCCCCCTGTGCTGGGTTTTTTTTGCACGTTATACATTTATATTTGTGATCGCCTTTATGATTATTTCTTATCGAAATGTTTTATTGACAATTTCTCAGTAATTGTAATAATAATATCGTTGATATATAATTATTATTATTATCTTAAAGGCAGTATTGATTAAATTGTTTTTGTAATTTTTAGACTGTGTATCCGTTATATCTGGATGACCTTGATTGGATAGCCAAGATTGCTGGCTTCAATGAATATATATACTTTTTTTTTGCATGTACTACATTTATACTTGTGATCACCATTATGATTATATCTTATTGAAATGTTTTATTAACAATTTCACAGCAATTGTAATAATAATATTGTAGATATATTATTATATATTATGGTGATGGCAGTTTTACTTAATTTGATTTTGTAATTTTCAGATGGTATCTGTTGTGCTCTGATGTACGTGCTGGAGATTGTTGATTGTTTTAGATTTAATGCGCGGGTAATTCTTTTGACAAAAAAAAATGTATTTATTATATAATATATTTAATTTAATTTATAATATATTATATTATATATTATGGTAAAGGCTGTATTAATTAATTTGAATTTGTAATCTTTAGAAGGAGTATGTTGTATCCTGAGGTATGCTTCAATTATGGCTCGGCCTGTAGGCCAATTGGTTCTAATGGTTAACGGATTTATAACATGGGTAATTCGTTTTAATTTCTTTAAAAAAAATTATATGTTACTGACTTTTCTTAAAGTAAAGTTTATCTTTTTATATTGTAATTATTAAATTGTAGTAATAATGATATCGTTTTTAAATTATTGATATAATCATAGTAATAGAAGTATAAATTAATTTGATTTTGTAATTTTTTTAAAAATAATCTTTGTTATTCACTTTTTTTAAATTAGAGTTCGTCTTAATATATTTTAATCGATTTACTTTGCATATTTTAATCATTAGTTTGATTTGTATTTCATTTATTGGTGCAATATGTACTACATCAGTTTATACAATCTTTCTCTCTCTCTCTCTCTCTCTCTAAATATATATATATATATATATATAAATATATTTTTACACGCATATACATTTTATTGTATATATATTATTATTATTATGGTAATGGCAGTATTAATTGATTTGATTTTGTGATTTTTAGAAGGAGTTTGTTGTATCTTGAGCAATGCTTTAATAATGGCTCAGCCTGTAGGCAAATCGGTTCTAATGGATAACAGATTTATTACACGGGTAATTCATTTTTTTTTTTTTTTTTATAATATTAGTCGGTCAGTAATTAATATAGTTTTTAAACGGTAATGGCACCGATAAATTAATTTTCATTTTGTAATTTCTAGACGTTCATCTGTTAGTCCCGAATGAATATGCTGGAAATTCCTGATGGTTTGGGATTTGTTACAAGGGTAATTTATTTTATTTCATTAAACGATAATTTATTGTCACAATATTATTTTTCTCAAAGTATTTCATTTATTGGTGCCATTTGTACTACATCAGTCTATACGATCTCTCTCTCTCTCTCTCTCTTTATATTTATATATAGAAATTACTTTATGTGTGTGATCGAGACAATAAAGAAACTTTATTTTTTTTATTTTTAAAAGAAACTAATATCCTATGTTTACAATAATTTTTACCATAGGTCGAAAAATAATAAAGTCTTGGTGTGTTTAAAACATATAGCTCTATCACGATTTAAATTTCGACTATTTATTTTTCTTATTATATCGATGATTAATTAATAATAATTATATTAATGCGTTCAAATTATATTTCGAGTGTTGTATTTCCATATGAATAAAACCGTTTTTTATGTGTGTTGTTGCCCAATAACGGAACATGATTTTTCCTTTTTACATTACTTTTTTTATTTGAAAAAATAATAATTTTTTATGTGTGCGATATTTTTACAAACATTAAGACTTTATTATCTCATATAAAAAAAAACCCAGCACAGTGGAGTCGCGGCATAGTGGGGACGTTGCATAGTTGGGTCCAGTATAGATTTAATCTGACAGTGATTAAAATCACTATCATAAGAAACGCTTCGATGCAAATCAGTAGATAGTGTTTAATTCTAAGAAATTGGTGGATAATTACAAAAGCTGCATGATCTGCTAGTTCCTTATTAATAACCTGATTAAGATAAAGTATGTCGAATGAAAAAGGTGTGACGTAAAAAATTGACCTATCATTAATAGTACTATTTAACACATTAGTAAATTAAATTAGTTATTGTGAACATCATATCATTAAGTGTAACTGCTCGGCAATTGGTAATGCGGTGTTATTGTCTGGATAGTATTAATTTCGTGGTGAATAAAAACTAATTTTGAACAGTATAATTCAGTAATAACATAATTAAATTTTCCTAAATAATGCAGTCGCACATTCCTTTTTCTATTTTATCTGTTGTACAATCGTTCATAACAAATTATCATTGTGATAACAAACGCCCAGCTGACCACTACAGTACTGTCAATCATTCAACCGGTCCCAGATGTCTGTCAACGTGGCATGCACTGATGTCGGCGTTTGTTTTCTCTTCCGGTCCATGTGTGTCGTCGCCGTCAAGTGGTCTGGCCGTTTTGTTCAAATGTGTTTTGGCCAGTCGTCTATTCTGTTTCCAGCCTTTTACTTAGTTTTATTTTGCGTATATTGAACATATCATGGCTGCCTAACTTTACTTTTGGTACTGGCGATCGAGCCATGGGTGAAAATCAATTTGTTGGCTACGGCCTGGTCATCATGATAATATAATTTGGTAACTTTGTACAGCATTCCCGTTTTTCTTTATTTTTGTCCATTTCATTGTTTCCTCTATTCGTGCATTGTCACGAGGTTTCTTTAAAAATCACATTAATATATTTTAAATATTTTAATATGATTATTCTATCTGATCTCTTGGCATATTTGCTCATTGACTATTGGTAAATTATTGTAAAATATCATTTTCGTCCATTCTATTATTATTTTTATTATATTGAGTGTAATAAAACCTCACATGTGTTGGACCAATCTAGACGTGCTTAGCAGTCTCAAGGCCTAGATCCATATTGACCGATGTCATGTTCTTAGTTTGAGCATTATTGCAATGATAACCAGTTTATTTTATTCTATATTGGAAAGTACGATCCTGTCCCTTGGTCAAATCGAACATAGTCAATACAACAGTGTCAGAGATTATTTTTTCTTTCATGTCCCTTTTATTTTATTTGTCCTTTAGCTCGTTTAATAATTTGTAATCATTTTAATTATGACTTGAAATATGTTATATAAAAGAATTTGTAATTTTATTTTATTTTGAACATTTGTAACTGACATTTATTTTATTGTACTTTGGGCATTATTATTTTAGTTAAACTCAGTATATAAAATAGAACATCATCGCCTATACTACTTGTCTACCAGTTTTTAATTCCTTTTCCCCTAGAGTTAAGGTAAAAACTTAGTAAATTAAAACAACAAATGTGTCAGTTATATTTAAAATTCCACTATGCTCCGGTCTGGTAGAGCCTCGGCTAGTGGTGAATCCAACTTCGTTTGGGTTTATGTGCTTCATCGGTGATAACCTCACGGTTAGTTATCGGTGAACGTCACAAAGTGATTATTAAAAAATATTATTACTCATAAAAAAATTGTGTTGATTCATACACATTTCAATGAGTTATAGCATTATAAAGTTAAATATGTAACCAACCCAACTCAACATCAACTCCTATTTCCTTAATTATATCCAGATTAGTAATTCTTTTAATTATATATTATATAATTTTTATAATTAATTATTTTCAAATTATTTATTATATATTTTCATTTTTATATTTATATGTTTTCAAAAAAAGTATCTTGATTTACACGAAGCAGCCAATATAATGAAATACACTTTGAGTATTCTATCAGAATGTCGAAAAAATGTTTCTACTGATTTCAAAGAAATGTATAAATTATCTGAGGATTTGGCTAAAAAACAAAATATTGATTTGAAAATTCCAAGATATTTTATAAAACAAATGAAACGTGCAAATTATTTAACCAATAATACAGAAGAGTATTATAAATTAACTGTATTTATTCCTTTGTTAGATAATGTCATTAATGATTTAAAATCACGTTTTTCACATAAAATACTTAGTTGCTTTAATCTTTCATATTTACTTCCTGAAAATTTTTTAAAGGAAAATTCAACTTCATGTTCATTAAATGAATCAGACGATATTATTAAAACAATAGCAGACGAATTTCAGATACTTCTCTCAAATGAAAAATGAGATGTTTTTTCTTTATTATGTTTCGAATTTAAATTATGGAAACAAAAATGGAATTGAGAAAAAATTGAAAATAATTTGATCAATTCCATATGTGTAACGAAAATTCTGGCAAATTGTGACGAAGAAATATTTCCATTAATTAATCATCTTTTAACTGTTTTTATTACTCTTCCAATAAGTAATGCAAGTGCTGAGAGGACATTTTCCACACTACGATGACTAAAAACATGGCTCCGGTAAATTATGTCAGAGACAAGATTAACTGGACTTGCTCTTTTGAACATTCATCGTGATATTAATGTAGAGGTCACTAAAGTGATTGATAGATTTTCAAAATCCAATAGAAAATTAGGTTTTGCTTTATAATTTATGTATAATTTGCATAATACAAAAAATGTAATGAATGGCATTACTTATGTATCTTGATTATTAATTTTTTTTGTGTCAGAAAGTTGATTTAGCTAAAAAATGTAAAGAAATATTTATTATTTACTATACATATTATTTTGATAGATCCATTGAATTAATAACCAAAAACATAAATTATTATCTGTAGTGTAAAATTTATCTTGAGAATTTTTTTTAAAAAATTTATATTATTTATTATTATTAAAAAATACATATCGATAAAGTAGTTTTTTGCTTAAAACTTTAAAATAACTATAAATAAATTAATAAAGATCAAAGAATCATTTTTTTTTTTTAAAGAACATTAAAAAACAAAAATTTTGAAAAAAAAAACAGAACCCCGTAAACGTTATTTTTGCGAAATTATTGATATTTGAAAAAAAACCTTGGTTTTTGGAAATAATCAATATCTAAGATACGAGTGATCAAAAAAATTTGAAAAAATTCATGAAAAAGTTTTTTGCCGATATTAAAAACATGAAAAGTTTTCAAAAAAATTGAAGAGGTCGACCTTAAAACCTTTTCTGGTATGGAATGCGCCATATATATATATATATATATATATATACAGGGTGATTTTTTTGTCATAACCCACTCAATTACTTACAGAATAATAATAATTTAAACATTTTTTTTTATTACTATCTTTAGTGACACATTATTCTTGAATTATTAACTATGTAATACTTTTTAAGTTCAGCCCTTATGCCTTGGAGGGGGGTCAACTTTGTTTTTTTAAATGGTAACACATATTATTAATTTAATAAAATGTTTGAGTTTTTAATTTAATAGTAAATGGCATTTGAATTTTTAATATAACTTTATTAGCTTATTAGATATAAACATTTAAAGTTTCAAATTTTTGAGTTAATATATAGGTATAATACACAAGGGATTACAAATACAGGTAGCTAATTGATTTTTTATGACATCGATATTAGCAGGTACACAGCATTGTTATTATCAATGATAGTAAGGTACATTGTTGTGAGCTTATAAATACACTAACTGTTAATACAAAAAGTATATCTATTGATAGTCATAATTGATAATAAACAATCCGTGACTGAGACAGCAATATACATAGACCGTTATCATTACCGTATGTATTTATCCTCGTAAACCTTACTTTTCAACTGACGCGTTGGGCGCGCTACCGAGTTCTCCTGTTATTGTTCAACGCAACGCATCCGGCGCAGCCAAATACCCCTTTTCGTAATCTGTTACCTACTTAATAACCGGCTTTTGCCACCCCTTCTTTAGATCGCGGAGCAAACCGTTGGTTTCCATAGGGAGACGTACGTTCGAAACGTTTGAACTTCCTTTCCGAAATCATCTTATACCGATCCAACTTCGCTTTTGCAGCCTCTGCTAAAATAGGGGACGGTTTGGATTTGTTGGGTTTACTGTGTACGATGGGGTTGCTCTTAGTTAGTACATTTGCTATAACTAAATTATAATAAATATTTCATAATTGATAATCAGGGAGTATATTAAAATAGATAATATCAAATTGTTTTTTATTAACTTAATTAATTTAATAAACGATATCAAATGACTAGTTTAAAAACAATTATGTTTTATATAATTACGAGTGTTAGAAAAAAACAATCATTGATATTTCTAGTATTTGTATATCAGAGGAATATATACTAAATATTTTTAATGTATTGATATTTTAATAAATCATAGCCTTATAATTATAAGGCTATGGTTTATTAAAGGTCAACTATTTGTTTCCTAGGGGTTCCTCTAATACAGAATGATTTTTTTATCTTTGTCCAATCAATATTTCTCAAAATAATTATAATAATTTTGAAAATTTTCATTTTGAATTTTTTTAATTACACATAATTATGCTATTATATATATATATATAATAGCATAATATATATATATATATTTATTTGTATATTTATAAATCATCCTAAACAAGTCGTGCATGGACAGACCTGAGACGTGACATTTGGAAGTTTCTACGACGTCTCAAGGTTGTCTTAAATTGGTCAAAAGACGGTTATAGAATGAGTCTAAGACAGTCTTATCGTCTCAAAAGACCGACTTGCGAAGTTTCTAAAACGTTGTTAGGGTTAAAAATTATTTTTTATATATATTATATTATTCTAATATATACTTGTTAACTATGCGATGACCCACCGATCTGGGTTTTTATTTATTCTTTACTCTCAATAATGATGAAAACTGCTGATCCGAATATCATGTTGAATATACCACACTTCAATTTTTTTAACAAAAATCAATGTTTTTCAAATGTTCAGATATTAAAGGAAAATATTTTGTAACGCAATTTAAGGAATTCATTACTTATAAAAAAATGTATGTAATAATATGCAATGTAAATGATATATATTGTTATAATAAATTTCAAGTTTTGTTATATAATTAAATCATTAAAACCTAATAGAAAATGACTCATACATAAGCAGTATAAAACTTTTTCATAAGAAGAAGATTAATACATAACGTAAGTAATACAATAAAAATTCGTTATTAAACTATTCAGAAATCACCAACAACCATACCACGTTGACTTCATCAGTTCTCATCCGATCACTGACGCTAAGCAACGTCGGGCGTAGTTAGTACTTGGAAGAGTGACCTCTTGGGAACACTGCGTGCCATTAGCATATTTTTTTTTTTAAAATGGAACTTCTTTTACATTTCTTAAAAGACTTAGTTTTAGTATGATGAATTTAATTTCATCATACATAATGTTTAAATGTTTTTTTTATAATATTACAGAATATACTGTTACTATACACTAATTTCCTTTCTGGCTTACGTATTTTTGTTATTATGATTTAATAAAAATTGAGATCCTATTTACATTTAACTAATAATTGTTCCAAGCGGTCACCCATCCAAGTACTAACTACGCACGACGTTGCTAAACTTCAGTGATCGGAAGAGAATTGGTGTATTCAACGTGGTATGGTCGTTGGTATTGATCGATATGTTTTGTGACATATTTAAAATTATGAAATATTAATGTTTATTCATTCATTTACTTAATATTGTTACGTCGCTATTTAGGGGTTTAGCCTAAATGCCCGTCGACAGTATTCTAAGGGACCAACGGGGGATAGCTGGCTAGGCTATATCTACCTTAGGTACTGAAGTTTCCTATTTAATTTATATTCCCTTAGAGGAACTACCAAGGGTCGCACTACAATATATATATATATAACACTTTAGGTTAACAACGATATAAATAAATATTTATTAAGCAATTGAAATATTAAATGGATAATACAACCTGCTGGACACCTAGAGATGTTATAATCCAACAGGGAGCTGACGGCGACACACACACACACACTATAATATACGGGTAGCGAAGTTAAGTTAATTATCAGGCAAAGTAGTGATCGCGAAGATGGTAAAATGTCAACTGTCGATAGGGATATCTTATTATGGCACATTGGCCATGAATTGCAAAAAGTGTTTATGTGTGCAGTCCGCCCTCCTGTTAGTATTGCTGTATGTCACTGTGTTAATTATATATATATATATATATATATATATATATTAAACGGTACAATGATGTTATGGGAGACAGAGATATGGGCACATGCAAATGTGATCGTATCAATATAAATTGAAAATTAAATGATTGCACGTCACATGTTTTACACGTTAAAAAGTATTAAATAGTTATTAAAATCTAATTATTTAATTAATTAATGTATATTATTAAATACGTTTTTTTCTAATTTTAAATAAAGTTAACAGCAAGTAAAAATAATTAATTTTGATGATGAAGGAAAATGTTTACAATTATTAATTTGATATATTATATAAAAACTATGCATGTAACCCTCATGAACATGCCTGTAGCTTGAGAACTTTGACTGTGGGGGAATATAGTCCCTAACTATATTTCAGACATTTAAATAAAAAACCTAACAAATACTTATCCACCAAATTGCTTCTACTTACCCCTCTCACACCCAAAATTATATTCTATTGACTTGAAGGGGATCCCATTGCTTTTGCAAACTACGCTACTACTCATGAATAATATATACGATTCTTGATTAAATACCTGTATGAGTTATCATTTATATCGGCATATGAATATTATCTGTAAATTATTTAGAATAATATAAACTTTGGCCATCTGGAAATGTAAAAATCATATTGTACATTTTTTTAAATCACTCATAGATGGCACACTTTGTTATTGTAAATATTCATATATATAATATACTAAGTTAAGGATTGATTCATAGCTGTAGATGTATATAATATACAGGCGCGGACTGGCCCACCGGGATACCGGGAAAATCCCGATGGGCCCCCCAAAATATTATGGTATATGGGCCCCTTGATACTACGGTAAATCAGTTAGTAAAAGCCAACAGCCTAAATTTTAATAATTTTTTTTTTTACAAAAATCCCCAATTTCCTTCCTGACAAGCAAAAAAAAAAAAGTTATCAAAAATTGTTATGTAGCGCCGTGTTACTGATGACTACTCTGCTCGACCACACAGCTCGCACATCTTAATACCGCCACTTAGTCCTCACGGACATGTTGGAATGACCCGAAGGTCTTATGAGTCCTCTTGCATTTCGGATAAGTTAAATACTATTTTAAGAGCATAAAATTATCAGATTTATTTATGTAAATCGATAAAAATATCTGATTATCAAATATGTCGTCTGCTTTTAATTCGCGGAAGTCGTCAGAACGTGTTTGACGGCTGATGTGTCCGAATTGATTATATTTACGATTATTATGATAAAAATTAACGACCGATCCATGTGTTGCTCATCGTCTGTATTGCATCATAAAAATCAATAAATAGCAAATCGATATTTCTCAATTTGCGATATCCTTTTGTCATGATTTTATATTTATTAATGATTTCAAAAAAATATTTTTGTTTGTTTTTTATTTGAAATCTTGATCATTTTCATTTTGCTCGTCAATGGTAACTATCGTTATTGCGTCTTATGAGTTTTGGTAACTGCTTTATTGTTTGGTGAGTACTTAAAAATTATACTAATATACATTATACTATAATTTATGAGTAAAAAAATATATTAAACATTAACATTGTTGTTTGTAAAACATTAAATGACATGTATGACACCATGTCTGAATTGAGCCAGGGAGCTACCGAGAAATTATTTATAATTATGTCTAAGTGAAACATTTATTATTTTATTTAATTTATTCGCGCCAAACAGCAATTTACATAATGTTTATAACTAAGTGATTTAATTAATTAAAAATTAAATATATAATAATAAAGTAATTAGTGATATAACAGAGGAGTGCTAGTAAAAATGTGCTAATGGCGTTGATTGACAATACGAAGCATACAGTATAGCGAATTATTATGACTATAAGAGATGGATTGAGTAGGAATATGAATAAATGTACGATTCCTTGAGGGGTAGGTCAGATTGCGAATAATGAATTCTTCTACTAAAAAGTGATCACGAAAGAATAATTATGTTTTTTTCTTTGACTAGGATGTAAATAAAATAAGAGATGAGTACAACAGCTTTTGTCGTATGGGCTGACTCTTTGTTAAGGGCTGAAACTTAAAATCTCGGTAGGCTGAAAAGTCTCGATCCGACTCTTTATGACATGTATACTAATTATAATTAGGAGTGCATACAATAATTACGTAAATCTATAACCATAGCGTATAAAATTATGTTTACTCATTCTTGCCTAGCAACAAATAAAAAATTAAAATTATACTGCACATATATTACAATGAAAAGAACATCCACATTAATCAATATTTATTAAGCTATGTGTAAAATAAGATATTTTTCCGTTTTTTCGATTTTACTAAAAGTTTTTAAAAGTTTTCATTTGTAACCATTTGTAATTTACCCATATTATGTAAAGTTTTCTTACCTTTCTAAACATATATTAGAGAACTTCTGAAATTTTGGCAACACGAAAAAAGCAATTTTTTTGATTATAAAAACTCAATTTTAATGACTGTAACGCGAAAAAAATCAATATTATTTTTAGAAAAGTCAGATAATTTAACAAAAGCAACTTATTTTTCTATTGGTTTTTATGGCTGAAGTTAATATTAAAACGATAGCACATCTTTTTTTTTGAATACTTTCCCCTTTTCCGGGACACGAGAAGAATGTCTTTAACTAGATACGATTAGTGGTCTTTTTACGTATAGTTCATCAAAATCGGTCAAGTCTAAGCTGAGAAAAGTAGGTGGCAGATAAAAAAANAGTCTAAGCTGAGAAAGTAGGTGGCAGATAAAAAAACACGTCATAGTAAAATAGTACTTTCTCAGCTTCGCATCGAAGCTAAAATTTAAAAAAAAAATAGTGTTTAGGAAAAAAGTAAAAATTATTTTTAAATAGTATTTAAAAAAATCCAAAAAAAAAATTGAGAAAATTCTTTTTGTTGTAATAGACAAACATCAAGTAGTGTAATTTTAAAAATAACCTAGGGAGGCCGTTTTAAACATAATACTTCCAAACAAAATAATTTTTTACTAAGTTACGTTTTTTTTTATAAAAATTATCAAGTTTTGGAAACGAATAATACTACAATATTTACTAACCTGAAAATCATATTTTTAATTTTTTAATTNTAAAAGTCATATTTTTAATTTTTTAATTAGAGTACAATTAATTTTGTATTTATTAGGCTAATTAATAATGGAAAAGGATAACATCGCCCAAAATAAAAAATATCATAAGAGCGGTTCTTTAAAATGAAAAGAACATAACAAGAAATGTTTTGAGGAGGTAGCAAATAAATCTAAAAAAATGACAACTGCTTCGCAAGATAACCCCAATTTAGAGCCGATAAAGATACCTCGTAAAAATCATCATTGATTTGCGTGATGACGAAAATATTGACCTTCAAATCACTAATTCTGAAGTCAAAATTGATTTATGTGATAACACAGATATTGACCTTCTAATCAAAAATAATTTAAATATAAAGATTGACGATAAAACAAATTTTAATTATTTTTTAAAGCCCAAGGGTAAACAAAATATTAAATATTTTTTTTCGTTTCATCCAAATCACCCAGAGAAAATGATGGATGACTCTCCTTTACCATTTAATACAACTAAAGCTTATTATGAAATTATTCCAGGATCACAGACAAAAATCAAAAGAAATTGGTTATCCTATAGTCATGAACATAACTCTTTATTTTGTTCAATATGTTTAGTATACTGCTCTAAATCATCAGCTTTTACTAGCGATAGTGGATTTAGCAGATGGATTCATGTTTATGAGCGTATTAAAGATCACGAAGAGTCAAAAAACCATAGAGAAGCGTCAAAATGTTTCATGGCTGATCAATGTGGTAAAAGTGTTGATGAATTAATAGAAAGAGTGCAGTGGGTTCAGAGGGAAAATGAAGTGATGAAGAGAAGAAGAGTAGCTCAAATAATTATTGATATTGTTAAAGTAATTGGAAAACAAGGATTACCTTTCAGAGGATTCAGATATGAGTCTGCTTACGATTTAAAAAATATATCAGTAAATCATGGGAATTTTTTGGAAATAGTATTATTGATAGCAAAGTCGAATGTAGAATTAAGTGATCATATTACTAAGGCAATAGTTGAAAGTGAAAAGAAGTTGAAAAGAGGTAAATCTGGTAGAGGAAATTTGTTTACTTTTTTAAGTCACAAGACTGTAACAAATGTAATTCAAACTATTGGCGAATTATTGTTGTCTAAGATATCTAAAGAAGTTAATGTGGCTAACAACTATTCCATTACAATGGATACAACTATGGATGTTTCAACTCATGATCAATGTGTAATTGTTTTGCGATATTTGAAAGAGAATGTCGAAAATGAAAAATCTTCAGTAGAAATTAAGGAAAGAGTTATAGCTTTGAAAAAAGTAATTTCCTCTTCAGGACAAGGCTTATTTGATTTGTTAAAATCAACTTTAATTTCTAAAAATATTAGATTAGATAAATGTATTGCAGACGCCTTTGATGGAGCCGCTAATATGAATGGAGAGTACAATGGAGTCCAGGCAAAACTTAAAGAACTGCTTCCAAGGCACATTCATACATGGTGCTATGCTCACGTATTGAATCTTGTACTGCAACAAACAACTTCGAGTACGGTTGTAGTAATCTCTTTTTTCGGTCTTCTGCAAGAATTATTTGTTTTTTTTAAAGAATCTTATAAAAGGCTCAATGTTTATGAATGTCAAAGTAATTCTGGCCGTCAATCACATTTGATAAATATAGGTGTAACTAGATGGAGGTCTAAAAATGATGCCCTCATAAAAATATTTGGTCGTATTAGTATGTGGACAAATGAAGGCGAAAATGAAGAAAGAAAAAAACTGACTTATGTGTCAATTGTTTTAGCACTTTATGAAATATCTTTTTCTAATAGTTTTGCAGCTGGTGTAAAAATTACAGCACGAAGTTTACTAAATCGACTCACGAGTTATGAAACAACATTAACAGCTATGATGTTTTTCCAAATATTTAAGTTCACTACTGCTCTGTCTGATTATTTACAAACATCTAGTCTTGATTATATACAGGCCTGGCGAAAATTTAAGTAACTATAAAGTCATTAAAAGAAAATCAAAGAGAATTTTCATCGATAAGTGCAGCTGCAAAAGAATTTTCAATATTTACATCCGAAGTTATATGGAAACACGAAACAGAAATTGATATTGAGTTAGAATTACCTCAAAAAAGAAGAATAAACATTCCACGACGTTTTGAAGATAACCCCAACATTGACCCGGAAATTGGAGCTTATCCAGAAAAAATTTATGAAATAAAAACTTTTAGTGTCGTTATGGATACTACTATTGCTTGTTTAGAGAACAGATTTTCTGGTAGTAATGAGTTGTATGGTGATTTTGAACTATTTGACCCAAGGCGATTTATANTTGCAACGTGCTTTCCCGCTAGGATCCTAACAGTTGGCTAAGCTGTACCTTAACGTTGGCCCTATATAATTTATATCCCACTAGTAGGGCGGTTAGCAGTTTCGTGACTAATAAATATAGACTCTTAACTAACAACGATAATAAACATTTCTTTCTATTTAATAGTATATTTAAATATAACCTAACAGGATCTCTAGATATGTTGTGGTATCCAAGTTAGGTGAGCGACACCGGCGAGCGTACACAATCCGATTGTAATAAAATAAATCTAATAATTAAATTAATAGTAAAATATAATACTGTCGGAATTAAGTTGTAGTAAATAAAGTATAATCTGTAATAAAAAATGAGTAGCCGCGAGCGTGGTAAAATGTCGATTGACTGTCGTTATATATTTCTTTAATGAAAAAGAATATCATCTGTTTTGTTTACACCCGCGCGTGCCGCATATCTGTAGTAGGTCATAGGGACGTTTGTGCTGATCAGGCACTAGTGTGGTATTGAAATGTTAATGTTGGTGAAGGACGAATAATGTGTACGTTACAAGTTGTATGGTGACTTTGAACTATTTTATCCAAGGCGATTTATAAATATCAGACAAAATGGAATACATTCACATGGCTTAAACGAGATTTGTGAACTATTACCACATATTGATAAGCATGCATTAAAAGAACAATTACTGTCATTTGCCGAATTCTGGCCTAAAATTTCAAAAACAAATATCAATGACGTAGACGATATATATAATCAAACAGTACAAGATGAATCGGACTTTGAAGATTACATGCAAAATGAAAACATTGAAGAAAAATGTACAAATATAAGAAAATGTAACTCGTGTTTATTGTGCGTGACGAACATAATTTATGAGTTTAATATGTATTCTTTGGAATATAAAGAACTCTTCGACGTATACAAATTTTTGTTGACTATTTCTTTAACTCAAACAACCTGTGAGAGGTCATTCTCCAAACTGAAATTGATTAAGACGCGATTGAGAAGCACATTAATTCAACCAAATTTAGAATCAATATTCATCATGAATTGCGAACGTGAATTAGTAGATGAAATAACTAATGACGAAATAATAGATTCCATGTGTGAGAAAAGTTTAGAAATGTTTAGATTATTAAAAATTTGTATTTATTTGTTAATTTTGTAGTTTTACATTCAGATTCACATTTTCAAAAATTACATATTATTTTACAATACGTTGCTGAATATTTTGTAAACTTAACTTCTGTATTAGTTTAAAGTATTTAAAATAATTTCACTATTGTTCAATTTAACTAATTTATTAAGATTAAATCAGCCATTAAGTTAAAAGTTTGTTTATAGCATTTATAGCGCAAAGGGAGACATTAATACGTATAACTTAAAAAATATATATTATTTTAACTTAAAATTTATGGTAAAGATTTTAAACAAAAATAAAGAATTTCATTAATACTGATGCTAGACTATTTAATCAAAATATTCCCTAAAAAATACACTACTTAANCTAGACTATTTAATCAAAATATTGCCTAAAAAATACACTACTTAAGTCATCATTTTTGGCCTAAATTTTATTAAAGACTTTTTTTTTTTTGCTCAACCAGCACAAAAAATCGGGTGGGCTCCCAGGAGCTTTGCCGCGGCCCTGGAAAGTGCCTATGGGCCTCTTCAACTTGGTTTCCCGGTAAGAAAATTGGTCCCAGTCCGTGCCTGATAATATATACATCTATAATATTAATTATACATTATACATACATAAACATTCTCTAAAAATGATTATAAAATAAGGTAACCAAAAATCACATAAACAGTAATATTTTACCAAATAATTTTGATGATTATAGTTTGTTAGTATACCATAGTCAAGAAATTAATACAAAGTAAAATTATTTATTTTATAGTTGGCACATACTATCATATCATACATAATTCGAAAATATATATTTTAAAATCATTAGACATTAATGATTTTAATTGTCTATATGGAGAATGTAAGCTAAGTAACTTTATAATTGATATAAAAATTTGACGTATCATTGAAAAAAATTGGTTAAGTGAGAGCTGAGAAAAATGAGCGACAAACACAAAAAACTCAGCACAGGGATGTCGTGGCAGAGTGGCTACGTGGCATAGTTGGATCAAATATAATGATATCTGACAGCAATTAAAATCACTATCATAAAAAACACTTCGATGCAAATCTTTAGATAGTATTTCATTTAAAAAAAATAATGAATTATTCCAAAAGCTACATGATCTGCTGTTTCCCTATTTATATCCTGATTTCTTAATCAAAGTATGTCGAATGAAAAAGGGATATAAATATTATTTCTTATAAAAAAATTTTATTGATCCATATACTTTTCAATAAGTTGCTATAACTTATTGAAAACTTATTATAAAGTTGAAAACGTAATAAATAAAATCGAGAATTTTCACATAAATAGCATTTTTTTCCCATAATAAAGTACATTACATTATCTTTAATTTAAGATATGTATAAAAAGTACAAAGTTAAGTTTTTCTTTTCCGCATGTTCAATGAATCAATTCCTTCATCAATAAGTAATTGTTTCTCAATTATGATTTGGGAAGAGCCATGATTATCTAAAGTATTTTCTTCTAATATTACAGGTACTTCTTGAAGAATCAATTCAATATTTGTGTTTCTCTCATTTCCATTATTACCACTTTCACTATTAGTTATTATACTATTATTCAAATTTTGAAAATTAACCATGTTTTCTAGCGATGTCTGTTCGTTTATTTCTACTTTAAACCATTTATTTTTAGATTTCTCCCAATGAGCCACTAATTCTTTAGTTTCTACGTCTTTTTGCTTTTTTTTGTTTCGAGAATAAAAACATGAAGGTATTTTGAACATCATTAATTAAAAAATAATTTTTTTTTTTTATTTACAAAAAACAATCTGTACAATTGAATAAGTACAATAAGTTTTTATTATATCAAATATGTAAATGGCTAATTTAAAATTAGCATGCAAGGAAGTCACCCATTGGTAAACCTCTCTGTTAGTTAAATATAATTTTTGTTAGCGGTTTGATGTTATTAGGTCACGGTTCCAGTTACGTTGAAGTCTGCGTGTAGGATTGTCCGGGAAGTCGGTAGTGCACATACGTTTAATAAGGGGGTTTGTATTAAAGTTCAGTTTATTGTGGAATCGTGTGTAGTGTAATTTAAAAAGTTCGTTAACTGTTTTAATTTTTAAATCGTTATGTAGGTTGTTGTTCGTTATGTACCAAGGGTCACTGATTAACTTTCGGAGTGCTATGTTCTGGAACGCCTGATTTGGGCGTATATTTGACGGCTTTGTAGGACCCCAGATTTGTATTCCATACAATAGTCATACATGGTCTTATAATAGTTTTGTAAATCAACATTTTTGTGTTTAATTGGAGTTTTGTAATCTTTAGAAGGAGTATGTTGTATCCTGAGGTATGCTTCAATTATGGCTCGGCCTGTAGGCCAATTGGTTCTAATGGATAACGGATTTATAACATGGGTAATTCGTTTTAATTTCTTTAAAAAAAATTATATGTTACTGACTTTTCTTAAAGTAAAGTTTATCTTTTTATATTGTAATTATTAAATTGTAGTAATAATGATATCGTTTTTAAATTATTGATATAATCATAGTAATAGAAGTATAAATTAATTTGATTTTGTAATTTTTTTAAAAATAATCTTTGTTATTCACTTTTTTTAAATTAGAGTTCGTCTTAATATATTTTAATCGATTTACTTTGCATATTTTAATCATTAGTTTGATTTGTATTTCATTTATTGGTGCAATATGTACTACATCAGTTTATACAATCTTTCTCTCTCTCTCTCTCTCTCTCTAAATATATATATATATATANTATATACTTTTAGATTCCATGCGAAGCTGAGAAGGTATTAATTAATTTTTCCATGATATGTTTTTTTTTTTTTTTGTCTGTTGCCACTTTTTCTCAGCTCTCACTGGACCGATTTCTTTAAAAAATACGCCAAAAGATCACAAATCGTATATAGTTGGAGAAATTACCCTTAAAATTGAAAAATTTTCCCTCGTTCCCCGCAAATGGGGGAAATATCCAAAAAAATTACAAATTTCAAAATCGGTAAATTTTGTCATTTTTCCACTTTTTTTTCTTAAAACTTCCATAACTTTTTCAAAAATAAACAAATCAACATAATTTTTTTTTATACTAAAACCTTAGATATTTCCCTTTCATTTGATATCATTTTTTTGAAAATCTAACACTTAACCAGCTCATTGGGGGAATTTAAAATAGCTACTTTTTTACAAAAACTAACTTTTTCAACTTAATTTTTGAAAATGTACCGGAAATACTACGTCCTTTAAACATATATAAAATTAAAGCTTATTTTATGTACTATAAAGTAAAAAAAAAAAATTTGTCCCGATACTTTATCTTGTCAAAATTAAAAAAAAAATGTAATGTTTGCAATAAAAATCATCTTCTATCGGGATGTTTTTTGTACTTAAAACTGCCATAACTTTTTCAAATATTAACAAATCAGGATAATATTTTTTATATTGAACCTTGTGTAATTTCTTTTCATTTGTTATCATTTTTTTGAAAATCTAACACTTATTCTGGTCACAGGGGGGGATTCAAAATAGTAACTTTATTACAAAAACTAACTTTTTCAATTTAATTTTTGAAAGTATTCCGGAAATACTGACACTTTTATATATATCTTAAATTAAAGCTTATGTGATATACTTTAATTTGAAAAAAAAAAATTTGACCTTTGGATTTGTCTTCATGGTAAAAATGACTACCGTATTCAAAAATATGCTATTTTTGTGTTAAAATCCTGGGTTTTATATTTTATTTTATTTTAAAATATCTTATAAGGGCAATACACTGCCCTATTTTTTTATAATTATTATTTTTATAATAGGCTAAATTGAATAACTTTTTTTTATTGGTTTTTTTAGATATATAATCATTAATATTAATTGAATTCTGAATATTTCCATTGCAGAATCTTTTTAAACGCCAAAAGTTAATTAGAAATGATTACTATGATTTTTATTTAAGTGATCTATTACAATAATAATATAAAAAAATCTAACTTTTCTGATAAATATTCTGTAAATAGTAATTATAAAATTTGCTGACAGCATATTAATCTTAACAATTTCATTTTTATCTATTTAATAATGTCAATTTAAAACTTGCAAATTGAGCTACTTGTTATGGTAAAAAATTCATTTTTTTTTTTAATAAAACTTTCACTTTAAAGGACAATAAAAAGTAACATATTTTAATATATTAAAAATCAAAATCAATAATAATTTGAAAACAATTAATTTTAAAAATTATATAATATATAATTAAAAGAATTACTAATCTGTGTATAATGAAGGAAATAGAAGTTGATGTTGCTTTTGTAATTATCCATCAATTTTTTAAAATTAAACACTATCTACAGATTTGCATCGAAGCTTTTCTTAAGATAGTGATTTTAATCACTGTCAGATATCATCTATACTTGTCCCATCTATGCCTCATCCGCACTGTGCCTCGACCCCACTGTTTTTTTTTTTTTTTTATTTCANCAATAATAATATAAAAAAATCTAACTTTTCTGATAAATATTCTGTAAATAGTAATTATAAAATTTGCTGACAGCATATTAATCTTAACAATTTCATTTTTATCTATTTAATAATGTCAATTTAAAACTTGCAAATTGAGCTACTTGTTATGGTAAAAAATTCATTTTTTTTTTTAATAAAACTTTCACTTTAAAGGACAATAAAAAGTAACATATTTTAATATATTAAAAATCAAAATCAATAATAATTTGAAAACAATTAATTTTAAAAATTATATAATATATAATTAAAAGAATTACTAATCTGTGTATAATGAAGGAAATAGAAGTTGATGTTGCTTTTGTAATTATCCATCAATTTTTTAAAATTAAACACTATCTACAGATTTGCATCGAAGCGTTTCTTATGATAGTGATTTTAATCACTGTCAGATATCATCTATACTTGTCCCATCTATGCCTCATCCGCACTGTGCCTCGACCCCACTGTTTTTTTTTTTTTTTTATTTCAACTTACAAATAAAATTTATCTTATGTAATATAGTTGAGCGAAAGTCGTGTGCTGTACATGTCGACCTGTTCTTTTATCATATGGTTTAAATGGACTCGAACCGTTTTTGATTTATCTTATTTTTAAGAAGGACCCATTTAACTGTTAACCATTGTAATATTTTGCATAATTATTGTATAATCTTTTGTGAAATTTTTTTTTCTAATTATACCGTTATTCAATTGACATTTTACTACCCCCATTCACAATCGACCACTATAATTATTATTATACATTATAACATGAAAATAAATCAACAACACGTCTTTAATTGTACGTTTATTTCTATTAATATATTTATAATTAATATCTATATATATATATATATATATATAAGAATTAATAATACACTTTCGCGTACTCTACTTCATTAGCCATTATTGGTTTACCGCAAATAAATTTCCTTAGCTTTGAACGAAAAATTTATTCCATATTATTTTGTTAAACAATTTGATTTTTTGAAAAATCAATCTTTATTAGTTCTGCCTTTATTGTACGTGTGTATTTCATACCTTGCCCCGGTAGACAACCCGTTCCGCCGCAGTCCTCGCGGTGGAGGAGGAGGAGGCCGTTGTGGCATTTTGCAGAAGCAACCTTAATCTCTCGACCTCCTCCTCCGCATTGCGGCGAGCCCGTTGCTCCAATTCAATAGGCGTTGGTATAGGCTGTGGTGGTGGTGGTGGTGCTCTTTTACGTTCTAAAAAAAACACTACTTNGGTGGTGGTGGTGGTGCTCTTTTACGTTCTAAAAAAAAAAAAAAACGTTTTTTTAACATATGGATATAAGTCGTAGTTTTATGTATAACTACTCGGGCATTCCCGATTTAAGTGGCCACCACTCTTGCACCTCCAGCACACTGCGAAAATGAATATCTTCCGTCATCAATACGATATGAGTGCATAAAAGTATTTATAAGTAATTAATAAGTGCATTTACGTTTCGGACCCTTGCGCTTTTTTTAATTCCCTTTGGGCTTTTTCGAGGTATGCGTTGTGCCGCTTACACTTAATATATTGCATTTAAGGCGTCTGGGTACCGACCTTTTTTCAGGGGTCGATTATAGGCAATTTTGCAGTTTTTACATGTTACGCAGTGTCGTTGTGTGAGAAATAATTGATTATTAGTGTGAGTGTCCATTATTGGGAGTATTTTCTTTGTGTTATAGTCGATCACAAAACCGGTTGTGTACCTGCCTTACTTTTTGATGCAATACGATTATATTGATAACGACACACGTTTATTTTATGTAGTATAAAAGCTGTAGTTCAGCAACAGCCTCATTGTAAATACTAATAGACGCGTCATGATTTCACAAATTTTAATTGATTATAAAAATAATTAAACTATTTATTTTTGACGAGTAAGAAAAACTAAATATTTATAGAAAATAAGTTAAATCATATGAGATCCACATCGATTATTTTGAAGTTATAAAACTATAAAAAAACTAATTTTAATTATAAGAATTCAATTTACAAAATTAATTTATTTAAGTTTTATAAGCCATAATGGGAAGTCCTTTGTCATTCACTTCTCCATTTTCAGTAGCAAGCCTAGTTTCTTCTTTCCCCGCTAACTCTATCGAATCCCATGCAGTTTTTTCAGTTTGCTTAGCAATTTAATCATGATATATTTGATACGTTTTATTACTCATACAAGGCATATTTAGTACAACAGAAAACTGTTCTAAATTTGTAAACCCCTGGCCAGTATTCAAAGTAGCAGTAACAACTGCAGTATTTATACTAAAAGAATCATTTAATTTGAGATCCTCTGAATAAATAATTTCTTTTTTTTTTTGCCAAAATTACATTCAAAGTGAAATCCTGAAAAAAAACCCTTTGAACTTTAGTTTTAAATACAAGATTTGAAAAATTACAGGCAAATAACTCGTGTTTAATTGATTTCAAACTATTAAAAAAATATTCAATATTTATTATTCTACGACTTTATTAATATTAATTATACCTAAATTAGTTAAATATGCGTATTAATTTCATTGTAAAATAATACTATAAAAAATAAACTAGCTCTTTTTTAATTATTGGTTGATTAACTTCTGAAGAAATTTTTTTACAAGTATCAAGAGTTTGTGCACTGGGTGTCAATGGTAAAAAATTACACGCGGGTGACTCTTATTAAAATCTATTAATTATACGTTCACAGATTTTCCGGGGATGTCGAAAGGGCCCAAAGGTGGTTGGCGTTCATAGCGACGTACGGTTACGATCCTAATAANTTGGCGTTCATAGCGACGTACGGTTACGATCCTAATAACTTGCGGAGCGCTTTCATTTGTTCCAGACATTTCGTCCCCGTCAACGATTACCGTACCAACCCAGTCCGCAGGTTGCTCATTAGTTTTGTTATTGCTCTGGATGCGATTATATTATTTTTTTAATATGTTCAGGTAATTGTCGCCAATCCCGAAGCAGCGCGACCCTCTCAGTCGGACGTAAAACAGTTCCATACAGTCTATAATTTAATAATTGCGTTTGCGGGATCTGATGGTTTTTATGATTGTTTCAAACGTGTAATCCCTAATCGAATCAATTCGTGGGGAGAGGGTCAATATTGATATGTTCACGGGGTTTGACCGGTCTCCAATTAATTTACAACCATCAAATTCCGTACCCGCGTGTTGTCCAATCGCAATTGTTAAGGTGTGTAATAAATACATTTAGGTTGAAATCGTTGGCATCGCTGTTGGTGACGAGGCGGCTGTTGGCGATATAAACGATATGGTATGAAATTTTTTTTTTTCTTTCATGTAGTAAATTAAATGCAACTTTTTGAATACTTATAATACGCTCGAAGGTCGAAGTCGTCGAAGCCGAAGCGTCACCCGAAATAGTCGACGTCGGTCCGCTCGAAGTGAGTAGTGTTCATTACATCGTGTTATAATAATTAAAATAATGTTATTTTTTTGTTAACGTGCAGGTCGAAGTGGTCGGGGCTCCCGTTGAACCGTCGCCCGAAATCGTTGACGTCGGGTTGGACGACGTCAGTAAAGTTATTCAATCGCTTTTAAATACGACGGAAATAAAGACTTTTAATTATTATTTTTTTTTTCTATCCCGTTGTGTATAGCTTGCCGCCGCCGTCGGAGTTCCAAACGAACGAGTTCTCGACGTCGCTCCGTCCGAAGTTAGTTTAGTCATTTCGAATATTTTAATAAATAGTATATATATATTAAATATTGAATTCGGCTTAAATATAACGGAATCTGTTGTACAGAGTGGCGCGCATTATACTGTGAAACGGTGTACTTTTTTTTTTGTTTTACGAAAATTGCCAACATTCGTTTAGCGACACTATCGTACGTCGTCGTGACGGTTATGTTGCCTATTCAGCGTGGAACGGCGTTTCTGTTACACTGCTCCGGTATATGTTTTCTACTTAACTTGAATTTTTTTATTCGTTTTTCAACATTTATATATTTTTTAATTCCACCCGGAACTATTATTATAAATTATTAAAATCGGTTTTCTCAGTGTTATTCGTTGCGATTTATATATATATGTAAAGAAAATATTTTCTATCTCTATAATATGATAAGAAAGTGTAAGGTGTGATAACACAAAAAAACATGTTAATAAAAAACAAATCATTGTTAAAAATTATTTATTATGTAAACTACTCTCTTTGTAAATATTAAATAATACTAAAGATTATAATAATAATAAACTTAATCTGTTGTTTCTTTGTTTTACAGGTAATGCTATAATACTAATTTAAATAAAATTTGTTATTAATAAATAACTTTGTTTTACAGAGAAACCAGTGGTTATTATTATTATTAGATAATATTATTGTTAAAGATAATAACCCCATTATAAAACAACAGAATTTGTTTATAATGTCCAAATTTCAATTTGAATTTATGGTGGTTACTTCACCTAAAGATCCTAAAACAAATGTAATAGCCTTAACCTCGATTTGTACAGAGGATGGTAAAAAATATATATTGCCAGATGAATTTAGATACATGGGAGATCATGTAGAATTGAGAAAAACAAACAACTATACAAAATTAGTCAATTCTTTAAAGAAAAGAAACCAAATAAGAAAAGTGTGGATTACGATGACAAAGGAATTAAAGGAGACATACATTGACGAAGATGGAAATTTACAGTTTAAAGACCAATATTTAGAAGAAATAGATGAAGAGAACACAAACTTAACACAAGATCATAATCTAAAAGAAATATTAGAAAAACTCATAGAAACGACAAAATATAAAGATAAAGAAAAAAATTTAAAACAAATATCAGAAAAACTTTTAATAGAAAAATTTTCAAGCAAAACTTCTAATTCTACACAATGGATGGAAAGCTTTGAAAAAGAGTGCTCTAGATTTGAAATTGACAAAAATGAAGATAAAATTGAATTATTAAAATTATTTTTGGATAAACCAAGTTTAAATTGGTACTCTTCTACACTCATAAGACTAACAGTAAATGCAGGTTGGTCAGAATGGAAAAATAGATTTTTAGCATGCTTCACAGATAACGGATGGAATAATGTTGTTTATGCACTATCATTTAAATATCGAGAAGGTTCGTTAACTGATTATGCTATGAAAAAAGAGAAACTTTTAATAGACTTTAATAAAAATATGGATATTAAATCACTTATAGCATTGATTGCAGTAGGACTACCAGAATTTATTCTGAACAAAATTGATAAGTCTGAATTAAAAGAAACAACAGACTTATTTAATGAATTGAGACAGCTCGAATGTCTAGAGAAAAAAATTTTTAAAAAAAAATTTACATTAGACTCTCAAGAAAAAAAGTATGAAGAAAAGAAACCTTGTAAGATATGTGAAGACTTAGGTAAAGGTGTTAGATACCACCCTAATGAAAAATGTTGGTTTAAAAAAAATGAAGAAAGTAGAGAAAAAAACACTACAATAAAAAAGGTAAATAACAATTCTATACTAGATGTAAAAATCCATGATGAAACAAAAAACGAATAAACACACCACTAATTAAATTAAACATTGTATTAGAAGATAAAATAAAACTAGAAGGGATCTATGACTCAGGATCTCAAGTTTCATTGATTAATAAAAAACTAATAAAAACTATAAATATTAATAAAGATAAAAACAAAATACAATTAAAAACAATTAGTGGTGTGTCACTCACAAAAGGATTAACAAGAATAAAATTAAAAATTTTCAATATTGAAAAAGAAGTAGATGTGTTTATTGTAGAAAATGAGGACTTTCATGATTTTTTGATAGGCCTAGATCTAATAAAAGAATTTAAATTAACTCAAGATGAAAATTTAAATATAAGCCAAAAACAATTGCATAGTGAAGATATAATAGAAATAAATTTTAATGAAGATATTAAAGAAAAAGATTTTAAAATAAATCTAAATCATTTAGATGATATTAAAAAAATTAAAATAGAACAACTGATAGAAGAATATAAAACAATATTTGCCAAAGATAAATATGATATAGGGACCGTTAAAGACTATGAAGCAAGAATAGATCTCTTAGTGGATAAATTTTGTAGTAAAAGACCATATAGATGTACAATTGAAGACAAGAAAGAAATAGAACAGCAAGTAGCAAAACTATTAGAAAAAAATTTAATCGAAGAGTCATATAGCCCATTCGCTGCACCTGTAACTCTAGCATTAAAAAAAGGTGAAGGAAAAACTAGACTATGTATTGATTTTAGAGATTTAAATAAAATTGTGACACCCCAAGCCCAACCTTTTCCTCTAATAGATGACTTAATAATTAAAGCCAGAAACTGTAAATATTTTACATCACTGGACATCAATTCAGCATTTTGGTCAATACCATTAAGGATAGAGGATAGAAATAAAACAGGCTTTATAACTCAAGAAGGACACTATCAATGGACTTGCCTACCATTCGGTTTAAAAACGGCACCTGCAATCTTCCAAAGAATTTTATCAAGTATACTAAGAAAAAATAATCTTAAAAACTTCACGGAAAATTATATAGATGACATATTAATATTTTCAGAAAATTTTGAAGATCATATCATTGAAATAAAACAAGTTTTAGAAGCCATAATAAAAGAAGGCTTTAGATTGAAATTAAAAAAATGCACATTTGCATCAAAGTCAATCAAATATCTCGGACACATAATAGAAAATAATACAGTAAGACCAATCAAAGACAACTTAGTATCAATACATAATTTTCCTACACCAAAAACACAGAAAAATATCAGACAATTTCTAGGTAAAATAAACTTTTACCACGAATACATACCGAAAATCTCAACGATACTAGATCCATTACACACACTATTAAAGAAAGATGTGAAATTTAATTGGTCTGTGGATTGTGAAAAATCATTTACAGAAATAAAAAAATTATTATGTTCTCAACCAGTGCTAGAAATATTTGACAGAGATTTGCCTATTAAGATATTTACAGATGCTTCAATAGAAGGTATGGGTGCAATATTGAAACAGACACAAAAAAATGGAAAGGAAAAACCAGTTGCCTATTTCTCAAAAAAATTAAATGAGACACAAAAAAGAAAAAAAGCTATATATTTAGAATGTTTAGCAATAAAAGAAGCTGTAAAATATTGGGAACACTGGTTGATTGGAAGAAAATTTGAAGTGTATTCAGACCATAAACCTTTAGAGAACCTCAACATAAAAGCAAGAACAGACGAAGAGTTAGGTGATCTAACATATTACTTATCTCAATTTGATTTCAATATTAGATACATACCAGGGAAACTCAACACTGAAGCAGACTGTCTTAGCAGAAACCCAGTATTGGAATCAATGGATAATACTGAAGAAGCATTAAAGATAGTAAATACAATCAAAATTCAAGAAATAAAAAAAGATCAAGATGAAAACATTGCATTAAAAGAACTTAAGAAAAAAATGATAGATGATCATGGTATAATTTATAAACTAAGTAAGAATAAAAAGAAGATAGTATTATCAGAAAAATTGAGTATTGAATTAATAAGAAATACACATATAGATTGGTGTCATATTGGCATAAATCAACTGATAAACAGAATATGCCCTTATTATACTTCAAAAAGATTAATAGAGAATATAAAAAAAATTTGCAAAACATGTGACATTTGTAAAAGAAATAAATCTAGAGGTCAAGCAAAATATGGACTGATGTCACAATTAGGACCAGCAACAAAACCATTGGAGATAGTGTCGATTGATACGATCGGTGGGTTTGGTGGTCAAAGATCAACGAAAAGATACCTCCATCTTTTAGTTGATCACTATACAAGATACGCATTCATACATACTTCAAAAACCCAAGCTGCCAACGATTTTATAAAGATAGTTCAAAACACACTAGAAATAAACAAGATAGACATAATATTAACAGACCAATACCCAGGACTAAACTCTAAGGAATTTAAAAATTTTTTGGAAGGACAAAATATCAGACTTATATTCACAGCCTTAAATGCACCTTTTTCAAATGGCTTAAATGAAAGATTAAACCAAACAATTGTTAATAAAATAAGATGCAGAATTAATGAATCTACTGAAAAGAAAGCTTGGACAACAATAGCAAGAGAATGTATTGATAAATATAATATAACAGAACACTCAGTAACAGGTTTTACCCCAAAGTACCTACTAGATGGGACTAATACAAATATGCTACCCGAAGAACTTAAAGAACATAAAAATGCAGAAGATTGGAAGAAAGATAGAAAAATAGCTTTAGATAACACTATAAAATCACATGAATATAACAAAAAACTATTTAACAAAAACAGAAAAGAAAATGAATTCAATACAGGCGATTTTGTATACATTGAAAATGGAAATAAATTAAACAGGAAAAAATTGGATGAACTCAGGATTGGACCTTTCAAAATAATAGAGAAAATATCAAATACCATATTTAAAATTAAAACAGGAAAAAGGAATGAAGAAATAGGACTATTCCACATTACAAAATTATTACCAAAATAATCAAGAGCTAATAAAAATTCTCATAAGAATTTTCACAGTGGGAGGGGGAGATGTAAAGAAAATATTTTCTATCTCTATAATATGATAAGAAAGTGTAAGGTGTGATAACACAAAAAAACATGTTAATAAAAAACAAATCATTGTTAAAAATTATTTATTATGTAAACTACTCTCTTTGTAAATATTAAATAATACTAAAGATTATAATAATAATAAACTTAATCTGTTGTTTCTTTGTTTTACAGGTAATGCTATAATACTAATTTAAATAAAATTTGTTATTAATAAATAACTTTGTTTTACAGAGAAACCAGTGGTTATTATTATTATTAGATAATATTATTGTTAAAGATAATAACCCCATTATATATATATATTCATTCGTTTGACACTATTTTATTGGGAAAAGTGGTAATTAAAATTTTATTGAGCATAACTAATTGTTTTGCGTAATATTTCTCGAAATTCAATCGGACGTTATGCGCCATTTATTATTATATTTATTTATTCATTTAAATTGAGATGACATGAGTCTTATGACCTCTGCCCGTACACTAAGACATTACACAACACTAATTAGAATGTTGTTTAATATTAAACATATATATATATTTAAAATATTTATTCAATACGAAAAAAAAATCTAAATGTCAAAAATATTACTAAACATATATATATTGTTGTTCATGATTATTATTATTGTTATTACTATATAGCAATTGANCATGATTATTATTATTGTTATTACTATATAGCAATTGAATATATTATTCCGTCACTATTCAATAGATTTTAGCAAATTAACTATGTGTGATATTTTTCAAATTTTATATTTCTAACAATCCATTTAAAATATTTATTATATTCATATATACATATACATTCCTGTATCGAAATGCGACTAATCGTCGTTATAGTTATCGATGTTCTTTCATTTCACGTTCTTTATCGACATAATTAATAACTTTGACGATTCGAAAAAAATTAAATCCAACTTTACGTGCACAGGGCGATCGACAGGATATATACGACGTCAATCAAACAAATTGTTAGCACTCCACTTTCGCGTTTATGGAATACGCGAATGAAATATAATGACATTTAAAANCGCAGGAATATGAACGAGGTGTGGGTCGACGAGACCCGACGACCGCCGGAAGAGGCACCGCAAAGAGTGACCATGTTCTTCATCGAAGACCGCAACAGCGACCCGAGGCGCTACAACGCCTCGCGCGTCAACGAAGTCGCCGCGGTGTTCACCGGCGAGAACGGCTTGCCGCCGGCGCAAGTGGATTTCGCGGTTTACGACCGCGCGACGGCCGGACCCGCGATGCGCACGCTGTCGACGAGGTCGCCACACATCGATCCGATGGTATACCCGCTGCTCTTTCCGAACGGCGAAAGGGGATGGAACCAACACATGGAACAGACGGGCGCGCGGAGAACGACCAACAGGCAACGCGTGTCCATCAGGGAGTTCATGTGTTATCGTCTAGCCGTCCGTTACGGGGACAACAACGACGGCGGTCACGGCGGGTTCCGCCCGTTACACGCCGGCGGTTTTCTGTTTCAACAGCTCCTGTGCGACTATTACGTGCGCATGGAATCGGAGCGGTTTGAATACTACGAAGCGCACCAGTCAGACTTTTTCGTGGAGGCCTACCAAGGTCTGATGGATCACATCAACGGGCAACACGACGTGACTAGGGACAACGACGTCGGGTCCCGCGTCATTCTGCCTGCTTTGCACACGGCCGGCGTGAGGTTCATGAAAAGACGTTATCACGACGCCATGGCCTTGGTGCGGACATACGGCAAGCCCGATCTGTTCATCACTTTCACCTGCAACCCAAAGTGGACGGAGATCGCGGACAACCTGTCGGACACGTTGACGTACATCGACAGGGCCGATTTGGTTTCGCGCGTGTTTCACGTCAAACTCAAAGCGCTGATGAACGATCTGACGCGCATGAACGTCTTACGTCTACACGGTCGAGTTTCAGAAGCGCGGTCGGCCGCACGCGCACATACTGCTCATTCTCGAAGAGCGGTTTAAAATACGTTTGGCCGAAGACGTGGACCGAATCGTTTGGACATAACGGATCCCGTCGCGCAACCGGCGCTGCACCGTCTGGTCAAGGCCCACATGTTGCACGGTCCGTGCGGCGTGTTTTTCAGAACGTCGCCGTGTTGAGACCAAGAGAGAAACGTCTGTACCAAGCAATACCCGAAACCGTATTGCGAGGAAACGATTTACCGCGCCGACGGCGGTCACCCCGAGTACAGGCGACCCGACAACGGTCGTACCGTCAAAGTGCGGCGGGCCATCCTGGACAGTCAGTGGGTGGTGTCTTACAATCCTTATCTGACGGCCTAATACAACGCCCACATCAACGTGGAGGTGTGCTCTTCGGTGAAGAGCGTCAGGTATCTGTACAAGTACGTGTACAAGGGCCACGACGCCGCCACGTTCGCGGTGTTGAACAACAACGAAATACAGAAGTATGACGACGACAAAAAATTTGATATTTGTATTTTGATCGTTTCGTTTTGTTTTCCAGCTATTTGAACACGAGATACGTGAGTCCGCCTACTAGTCTACCTGAGGACGTTGCTGCTGTACCGCAGGGGCCCGATCGGTTTCGAGGACCTGAGGACAGTCTACGGTACGGTGTACCCCACCTACGCCGAGGCCGCGACGGCTCTGGGCATCTTGCGAGACGATCGCGCGTGGAGAGCGTGTATGCGAGAAGCTTCCGTCCACGACACGCCGCATCAGTTGAGATGTCTGATCGTCTCGATACTCCTGCATTGCTCGCCTAATGACCCGCCGTGACTGTACGACGAGTTTAAGGTATAACTCTAACTGTTTGTTTTTTTTTTTTGCATGGCGACGGCGATAGCGTTCTTTTAGTATGGATAATTAATATTTTACGAATACCCACCCGAGTTCAAAATTATAAATTCCGTTTGTTCACGGACAAAACGATAACAATGATTGTTATAATTATTATTGTTGTCGTTATTATTAATAATATTCTTACTAATAACTACAATTAACATATTAATATCAATCGCATATAACGATGATAATAATAATAAGTAAATAAATAGGACAACGGCAAAAGTATGTAGATTTAATACTATTGCAACGCGGCGACTTTTCATGCCATGTATCATTGACTGGCAAATTTAAATTTTCCACGTCGATTCGATAAAAATCGTAACATTAATTTACGTGTTCATTACAAATATCTTTTCATTGTTATAGCCGATGTTTCTTCAATAGTGTTTGATCCCCGTATATAAATTCACAAAATGTTTATTAAAGCGTATATTCACGTTGAGGTAAAAAACAAAGTATGAATCAACTCGATGCAAATCACTACAGTGTTCGACATGCTTATTTCATTTATTATTAAATTGCTTTTATTTATTATAAATATTTCATTTTAGACGATAATAATTATTTGACAATATCTATTCAAAGTACATGGGACGGTTTTGTTTCGTTTTTTCTTTTACAGCTCGCGTAATAACGGCAAGAGCGATGAATTTAATTATTAATCGTTCGTTGTGTTTACAGGACAATCTGATGAAAGATTACTTCAGACGACGCGCAGACCGCGACAGATCCGAAACCATGTGTTTGGCTGCCGTGGAACGTCACCTGGCGGCTTCAAACAAGACGCTGGTGGGTTACGGTTTACCCGAACCCGATCGCGCTCTGTTAGTACCGGACGCCGCGCCAGCCGACAACACGATGGCGGCGTCGGCGGCAGACGTCGCCGAGTTGATCGGTCGACTGAACGAACAACAGCGGACGATATACGATCGCGTCATGCGGGCGATCGACGACACCAGGCGTCTTTTGCCCAAGTTGTTCTACGCTTCCAGAGCCGGAGGTTGCGGCAAGACCTTCCTGTACAACTATTTGATTTCGTCCATCCGGAGCCACGGAGGGACCGTGATTTCCGTAGCCTATACCGGGATAGTCGAGTCGTTGATCCAGGGCAGAAAGACCATAAGTGTTCTGCACATTAACGCGCGACCATTGCGGTTTGCGTTTATTTTGTTCCACACTAACGCCACGCGTTCACTTACAGGTTCACTCTACGTTCGGCGTTAGGGTGGCGCCGCACGATCTAGAAGACCCGTCGTATCTGGCGATGCAATTGAGGAAAGCGCAGGCTCTGCGCGCCGCTTCGCTGATCGTTTGGAACGAGGCGTCCATGTCGCCCACGTCGCAGCTGCGGGTCGCCGACAGGTTGCTCAGGGACGTCATGAACGTGCCGGACACGCATTTCGGCGGTAAACTCGTGCTGTTCGCCGGCGACTTCAGGCAGACGTTGCCCATCGTGAAGCGCGGTTCGCGAGCCCAAATTGTTTCCGCCACCATACGACATGGTGTTTATTGGGTCTTGATGGAAAAATACGCGCTGGAGCGCAACATGCGAGCCGACGGACTGGAACACGTGACTATTCCGGGCGGTGCGGTAAGCGAATCTTTTGTGTCTCTATTGGACTTTGTTTACCCACGGGCGATGTCGTTGGACAACGTCCGCGATTACGCTAAACATATTGTTTTGTGTGTTACGAACAACGAGTGCAAGAACATCAACGATCAGGTGCTCCACAGTCGAGTGACGGGGTCGCAGAGGGTGTACACCGCCACCGATGCCGTCATAGCCGACGACGACGACGAGGCGGCCAATTTTCTCGTAGAGTTCCTCAACACTCTGGAAGCGGACAACTTGCCGCCGTACAGGTTAACTCTGAAGGTGGGCGCGATCGTCATGTTGCTGAAGAACCTGGACACGGCCAGACGGCTGTGCAACGGCACCAGACTGGTAATTACTGAGCTCAGGCAACATAATTTTAAAGCTAAACTGTTGAAAGATCTCGACGCCGAGGAGACAGTCGTTCCCATCGTTCAGACGAGGACGTCCGGGGACGGCGACATTCCGTGCCGCATGTGCCTTTACCAGTTTCCCGTGAGGCTATGCTACGCCATGACCAACAAGTCGCAGGGGCAGACGTTCGATCGTATCGGCCTGTCGCTGACGGTACAGCCGTTCGCCCACGGACAGCTGTACGTGGCGTTTTTGAGGGTGCGCAACCAGAATTCCATCAGGGTTTACCCTTTGTCGGCCGTGGACGGACCGTGCGTTGTGAAAAACGTCTTGTACAGGGAAGTATTAGAATAATTTTGATGTAAATCATGTTTAATAGCGACATTGAACGCGATCCCACGGTACAGCGGGTAATCGAGTGTTTTGAACGGATTAAGTGGTGTAATCCGGTCAAAATGCTCGATTTTGACGGGCGTAACTTGGGCGTTTATGCGAATATTCTGCCTGTGTCCCTGTATGCTCGATCGCCAGTTTTCTGATCGCGATCGTTCGCGTTGGACAGCGAAAAATCGGGTTTTTTGAACGGATTACCTGGTGTAGTCCGGCCAAGAAACTCTATTGCTGCTGGCACGGGTTGTTTCGGTGTGCCAGATGCGGCGGGCGTGACTTGAGCGTTTATGCGAATATTCTGCCTGTGTCCCCGTGTGTCCCTCGAAACGGCTATTTTCCCATGCTGTGCATATGCCATTTGAACCCCAAATAGCATGTGTACGGGCGGGGAAATTTCCGTTTTTTGCGTAGAGATTATCTGACAACCTTCACGTGGTTCTCTCTGAATGCAAATCCGTTAAATGTTCGTGGCATTAAATAAAATATCATAATAATAGTAATATAAATTTTTAAATATTTGCATTACAAGTCGATATGACAGTCACTTTTTGCCATACGAATTCGTAACTAATGTCATGCGTTATAATTAAAATTTGTTTGCATATTATAATATATTTATTTGTTCGATTTCTTTTCCAGAACTCAAACGAATTAACACAAATGACTCGGAGAACGTTGGTAACACGACGAACGTTTCGACAAAATAATATCATCTTATGCGGGACCGACACGAAATTCCTGGAAATTATCATACACGACAACTTACTTTCTACGCTTCATTAGAAATTATTATCGACCATTTGTGATACATAATTTTATATTGTTTAACATACGTATACATTATCTATTATATATCTTTTCACTTAAACAGTTCAAATGTAATATAACATTTTTATAGCAAACAATTGAACAAATCATTTCTCTTTTTGCCTGTTCTGTAATAACGGTTTAATATATTAAAATTTGCCTTTATTTTAACTTTCTCATTTCAATATGAATAACGTTCATCGTATGAATTAGGTTTGAAATGTCGTTAGCAAATTTTGCACTATACGAATTCAACATCTTTTTATAATATTTAGATATTTTTATTTTTTATTACATAGCAAAACAAATAATAATAATATTATTATGAACTCCTTTTAATTTTTAGCTTCGATGTGATGCTGAGAAGGTATTGGTTTTACTATGATGTGTTTTTTGTGTCTGTTACCACTTTTTCTCAGCTCTCACCGAACCGATTTCTTTCAATGATACGTCAAAAGATCACAAATCGTATCTAGTCGAAGACATTACCCTTAAAAATTGAAAAAAATTCCCTCGTTCCCCGTAAAAGGGGGAAACCTCCAAAAAAATTACAAATTTAAAAATCGCTAATTTTCGAAATTTTTTCAATTTTTTTTACTTAAAAGTGCCATAACTTTTTCAAAAATAAACATATCAATATAATTCTTTTTTATATAGATGCATAATATCATTACCTTTNTCGTTCGATTTCTTTTCCAGAACTCAAACGAATTAACACAAATGACTCGGAGAACGTTGGTAACACGACGAACGTTTCGACAAAATAATATCATCTTATGCGGGACCGACACGAAATTCCTGGAAATTATCATACACGGCAACTTACTTTCTACGCTTCATTAGAAATTATTATCGACCATTTGTGATACATAATTTTATATTGTTTAACATACGCATACATTATCTATTATATATCTTTTCACTTAAACAGTTCAAATGTAATATAACATTTTTATAGCAAACAATTGAACAAATCATTTCTCTTTTTGCCTGTTCTGTAATAACGGTTTAATATATTAAAATTTGCCTTTATTTTAACTTTCTCATTTCAATATGAATAACGTTCATCGTATGAATTAGGTTTGAAATGTCGTTAGCAAATTTTGCACTATACGAATTCAACATCTTTTTATAATATTTAGATATTTTTATTTTTTATTACATAGCAAAACAAATAATAATAATATTATTATGAACTCCTTTTAATTTTTAGCTTCGATGTGATGCTGAGAAGGTATTGGTTTTACTATGATGTGTTTTTTGTGTCTGTTACCACTTTTTCTCAGCTCTCACCGAACCGATTTCTTTCAATGATACGTCAAAAGATCACAAATCGTATCTAGTCGAAGACATTACCCTTAAAAATTGAAAAAAATTCCCTCGTTCCCCGTAAAAGGGGGAAACCTCCAAAAAAATTACAAATTTAAAAATCGCTAATTTTCGAAATTTTTTCAATTTTTTTTACTTAAAAGTGCCATAACTTTTTCAAAAATAAACATATCAATATAATTCTTTTTTATATAGATGCATAATATCATTACCTTTCATTTGGTATATTTTTTTCATAAATTTAACCCTTAACCTGCCCACAAGGGGGGATTTAAAATGACAACTTTTTCACAAAAAATTAATTTTTTTAACTTAAATTTTGAAAATGTTCCGGAAGATCTGACACTTTTATATATATCTAAAATTAAAGCTAATGTAATATGCTTTATCATTAAAAAAAAAAATTTCGGACTTTATCTTATCTTCATGGTGAAAATGGCTACCGAATGCTATTTTTGTGTGAAAATTTTCGATTTTGTATTTTCCATTTTTAACTTTATTATGCTATAACTTTTTGAAAAATGTATGAATCATTACAATTTTTTTATGAGAAGTAGTATTTATATAGATCTTTCATTCGACATACTGTTTTTTTAAATCGGACCATTTCCCTAAATACAGGGGGGATTCAAAACATAAAAATGCATATAGAAAGTAGAACTTTTTCAACGTAACTTTTGAAAGTGTTCCGGAAGGTCTGACACTTTTATATATATCTTAAATTAAAGCTAATGTAATATACTTTATAATGGTAAAAAAAAATTTCGGACTTTATTTTATCTTCATGGTGAAAACAGACATTAAACTTAATAAAAAAAATACGATTTTTGTAAAAAAATTCTTTTTTATATTTTTAACTTTATAATGCTATAACTTCTCGAAAGATGTATGGATCAATATAATTCTTTTTTTTGTAGATGCATGATGTCTTTACCTATCATTTGGTATATTTTTTTTATAAATCTGACTTTTTACCTGCCTACAGGGGGGGATTCAAAATGACAACTTTTTCACAAAAAATTGACTTTTTCAACTTAAATTTTGAAAGTGTTCCGGAAAGTCTGACACTTTTATATATATCTTAAATTAAAGCTAATGTAATATACTTTATCATGGAAAAAAAAAATTTCGGACTTTATTTTATCTTCAAGGTGAAAATGGCTACCAAATGCTATTATTGTGTGAAAATTCTCAATTTTATTTTTTACATTTTTAACATTATAATGCTATAACTTATTGAAAAGTGTATTGATCAATATAATTTTTTTATGGGAAATACTATTTTCTAATAATCTCTTTTTTATTCTACATACTTTGTCTTAATCAGGATATTAATAAGGAACTAGCAGTTTATGAAGCTTTTGGAATAATCCACCAATTTTTTAAAATTAAACACTATCTAAAGATTTGCATCGAAGCGTTTTTTTTTGATAGTGATTTTAATCACTGTCAGATATCATTATACTTGATCCAACTATGCCACGTCACCACTGTGCCGCGACCCCCCTGTGCTGGGTTTTTTCATTTGACAACATATTTTCGTTTGCGATATTATTATTGTTTAATTATTCTGCATGTAAACATCACAATAATTGTTTTTATATATGTTTTATACTCGGATTGCTCTATCCTTTTATATACGAGAATTAAAGTAATGAGTACAACACCAATAGCTTTGTTACATCCATTATTACATCAATAAAATCAATAGAAATTAAACAATATAATCAATAGACGTACCTAAGTTAATATTTTATATTATTACCGCACCAAGATATATACATGAAATAAGTAACAAGTATTATGATCAATGCATAGTTGAACCAAAGCAGTTTTTTTTTTTGGCTTTGCCACGGGTAATTAACCCTGGTTACAGCCATAATATTTTTTGTTATTCAAATCTGAAAGTGAAATATATTACACTACTAATTGTTAATTATTTTTAAACGTATCGTTCGTGTTTAAATAAATACATACACTAGTTACGTTTCTGTACGTTGTACCGTAACGATCACACACGAAACGACATAGAATAATATATAAATGATAATAATAATATAACGTGTTGAGTACAATTTTGAAATAAAATGCGGGTATAGATTAAATGCGCCTAACATCTTTATCGGATACCTACAAAAGTACACTTCTAATCATATTTATTCCGCTAGATGCGACACTACATCTTGACGAGTTGCGCTTGCAGCTATATTTGAACTAAAAACGATTTTGATAACATATGAAGTCGAACAATATTTCTGAACTTAATTTACTATCATAACGTAATGGTTTATTTATTGAAACATTACTTATAGCCAAAATTATTACAACACTTATATTAGTTTTTTTAATAAATATTACTGTCTATGATTATTATGGTTCGATTATAGTTTTTAAATTTTGTCGTATTGTTTGAAATTAATCTGAACTTGAGGTGTTTGATTGACATTTCTCAGTGGCTAATGTCCCATAGTATTCATTGAATACAATTCCCCGTTTCATAAATAGATTTTGAACAAAATATTTGTCAGTAAGAGGTAAGATATTGAGGGACTTGACCAGTGTTCGAAACCAAAAATGATAGCAGAAATTTTACGTGCATAACTGTATACACAGCATACCGCAAATAAAGATCCTGTTCAGTAAATTTCTGTATATAAAATCGTTTCAGCAGTATATTTTCAAAATGAAACAGATTGCTCAACTAGGCAATATTGAAGAAGATTCTCTTATTGATTATATTATAGCTGGTATAAGAGACTTGGAACTCAACAAGATGATACTGTATGGCGCTACATCCATTGATGAGCTAAAATTGAAACTTGAACTGTATGAGAAAATGAAGTTAAACGTAAGGCAAATACAAAGTCAAACATAAATTTCAGCGAAAAAAAAAATTGAAAGAATTGCCTAATGCTTCATTTAAATTATATATACATGAAGGTCAATCAGCAAACATTAATCGTTGCTACAACTGTGGTACGAAGGGTCACCGTTCTAGTTCTTGTCCTGATGCTAGTAAAGGATTTAAGTGTTTTTTATGTCAGGAATTCGGTCATAAAGCATCATCGTGTTCTTATCGTCCATCAACTAGTCGACCAAATAATGATAGAAGTCAATGAGATAAAAATGTTAAAATACAAGTGAATCAAGTTAATGATGTCATATATCCTATTAATCATATAAGTAAATTAGTTGATATACAAGGTGTATAAACTAATGCTTTAGTTGATACTAATAGTGATGTGAATCTCTGTCGAAGGTCATTTATATTGAAGTTAGATAAAATTACAATTTGTAAAGATAAAACGTTACTAGGAGGACCAGGAGGAGTTAAGTTCTACATAGAAGGTGTATTTACTTACAAATTAAGTGTTGATGGATCATCATATACTATTGATATTTATGTTGTTCCTGATGTAGCCATTACATGTGACCTGTTAGTAGGAAAAGCTATATTTCAAACAAGTGCTGAATTGCACATAAATCCTAAGTGTGTGAGAATAACTAAATTTGAAGAAGAAGAAAATCAAAAAATGTCTATTAATAAACCGTATAATGAGCTCAACATAGGTGCATCAACTTATACAGAGGAAATTAATAATATAGTGAAAGATTATGAACCAAATAAAGTAAAACATGCACCGATTGAAACAGTTATTTTATTAATGGATGAAAAACCTGTATATCAAGGACCATGGTGCCTATCTCCAGCGGAAACATGTGAAGTTGACAAACAAATAGAAGAATGGTTACAAGAAGACATTATTAGACCTAGTTGTTCTGACTACGCTAGTCCAATAGTTTTGGTCAGGAAGAAAGATAACTCTCTACGTTTCTGTGTAGATTACAGGATGTTAAATAGGAAGATAATCAAAGATAGATACCCTTTGCCATTAATAGATGACCAAATAGATAAATTACAAGGAGCTTCAGTCTATACAACTCTTGACTTGAGAAATGGATTTTCCATGTTCCAGTTCATAAAGATATCATTAAGTATACCTCTTTTGTCACACCTAGTGGGCAATATGAATTTCTGCGAACCCCTTTTGGACTGTGTGTGTCACCTCCTATTTTTCAAAGATATATTAACTTTGTCTTCAAAGATTACATTCAAAAGAGATTTTTATTAACATATATGGATGATTTAGTGATATTGGCTAGTAGTTATGAAGAAAGTATTGAACTTTTAAAACAAATATTGCAAACTGCTTCTGAATATGGACTACACATTAAATGGAGTAAGTGTCAATTTTTACATACAGAAATTGAATATCTAGGATACCGAATTTGTAAAAATACTATAAGATCTTCAACATTGAAGACTGCTGCAGTTATAAATTTTCCTTAACCTAAGTCAATAAAAACAGTGCAAAATTTTCTGGGTCTTACTGGATACTTTAGAAAATTTATAAAGAACTATTCATTGATTGCTAAACCTTTGACTGATTTATTACATAATGGAGCTAAGTTTAAATTTGGAAAAGAAGAACAAGATGCAATAAATATGCTGAAAAGAAAACTGGTGGATAATCCAGTGTTACATATATATGAAGTGTGACAATAAAATAACGAGACTTTCTAAGTATAAACTAAACTATTAACGTAATCTATAAAACTATTATTGAAATATGATTAGGAAACACTTATCTAAAAGTACTATATACAATGATGAAATCGGTTAATTTTCTTATACGTTAGTAACCTTGTTATTAGTGCGAATTCGACTATACTGCCGAAAAATATAAGATATAAAAATCAAACAACGTGTTAACATTAAATTTCTTGTTAAATTAAAAAATCTTTCGCGGAATCATTTCGTATGTTATGTGAAGTTTATGGTGAAGAATGTTTATCAAGATCTCGCGTTATTGAATGGCACAAACGGTTTTGCAATGGAAGAGAGGACGTGGAAGACGATGATTGTTCTAAACGTTCTACCCCATGTTCAACAAACGAAAACGTTGAAAAAAACGACAAAATTATTCGGCAAGATCGTCGATTAAGTGTTAGAGCTGTAGCAGAGATGGTAAATATTGATAAAGAAAGTGTTCGTAAAATTTTAGTTGAAAATTTAAATATGAAAAAAGTGTATGCTAAAATAGTCCCTAAAAATTTGATCAAAAATGCAATCGCAAAGAAATTTGTTTTGACACCTTTAAAAACATCAAAAATGATCCATCTTTTATAAATAATATCATTACGTGTGATGAAACGTAGATTTTTACATATGACCCTTAAACTAAAAGGCAATCCATGCATTGGAAGACACCAACTTCCCCAAGAATGAAGAAAGCACGAATTAGCAGTCGAAATTAAAGCAATGCTCATTGTTTTCTTTGACATTAAGGGAATAATTTTTGTTGAATGGGTTCCTAGTGGGCAAACTGTCAACCAATATTATCATAAAGAGGTATTAATTAAATTAAGAGAACGTGTTAGAAAAAAGCGACCAGATCTGTGGAACAGATTCTTTACCAAGACAATACTCCAGCTCACAGTGCATTTTCAATTCAAAGTTTTTTAACTGAAAAAAATATTTCTATACTTCGACATCCCACGTAGTCACCAGTCCTTGCTCCTTGTGACTTTTTCTTATTCCCAAAAATTAAAAGTTCTTTAAAAGGAACCCATTTTCAAACGGTTTATGACGTAAAAATGAAAACGGCAGAACTTCTAAAAGGGCTAACTCAAAAAGCGATTGGCAACATTGTTTTCAAGAATGGCAGCGACGTATAGAACAGTGTGTTGATGTTGATATTATTGAACTAGAGTTGCAAAATGAGCTTTACTGCTTGAAAAATTTAGTTATACAGTTGAACACCTCAGTGGATCTCGTTTACCCCATATTGATGCTCTTAGTCGATATCCTGTATGTTTAGCGATTGAAAATTAATTTTTGATTAAATTACGAAGAGCCCAAAATATGGATTCGGAGATTAGCGCATTGATAGAAGTTCTAGCTGTTTCGACTCATCAAAACTATTTAATTGAACATGATCTTATGTATGAGATGAAAGATGGCCAAAAGTTGTTTGTTGTTTCTAGATCCATGCAAAAGGAAGTAATCAGAAAAGAACATGAAATAGGACATTTTGGATGTAAAAAAATTGAAGAAATATTGAAGAAAGAATATTCCATGTCAAATATGAAAACAAAAATTGAGAGTATTGTAAGAAATTGTATTCCGTGTATATTGGCAAATCGAAAAAGTGGTAAGCAGGAAGGTTACTTGAATAGAATTAATAAGGGTGATTTTCCATTAGTTACCTATCATATATATCATTTGTGACCATTAGCTGCTACAGCTAAAGGATACAAATATATATTTGCAGTGATTGATGGTTTTAGCAAATTTTGTTGGTTGTTTCCTACCAAGACTACTATATTTAAGGAAGCTATTGATAAAATGAAAACTTTGTCTACTACTTTTGGGAATCCAGAAAGAATTGTGTCAGATAATGGAGGACCTTTTGTTTCACAAGAATTTTCTGATTACTGTAGAAAAGAAAACATCCAACATGTAACGATTACTACAGAAATACCAAGAAGTAACGAGCAAATAGAAATATTAAATGCAATTATTATTCCAGTCATTACCAAATTAAGTTTAGATCAACCCGAACATTGGTACAAGAATGTTACTCACGTACAAATTGCACTAAACAGTTCCTTTCAGAGAAGTATCGGTATGACACCATTCAAGTTGACATTCGGTGTTGAGATGAGACATCCTCAATATTTTGAGTTGACTAAAATAATTGAGAAAGAATATACAAATGCTTTTGTGGAAGAGAGAGATGAATTGCGTAAGGAAGCAAAAGAACAAATTTTTAAAGCTCAAGAAGAACAGCGTAAAACTTTTAATAAAAAGAGAAAGGAAGCACATAAGTATCACCAAGGTGATTTGGTTGCTATTTTGAGGACACTATTCAAGCCAATTTCCAAAACTCATAAAAAGTTTTTGGGCCCATACCAAATAACCAAACGTAGAGGACCAGACAGATATGAAATGGTCAAAATTGGTGAGCCTGAAGGTCCCATTAGAACATCATCTGGTGTTGACATTGTTTGTAACAATGAGAACAATAGAAACCCGTTTCCTGACTTACTGAACACCCTGTATGAAGCCATGGAGCTAAATAGATACAGATGATGAAGAAGAGATAGAAAACTGTCAATCAGTCGAGACGGCTGATCAAGAAGAGGGTCGAAATGTGGGTACCATTGGTGTCTAGATGGCACCACGTCCAGGGTCTGGAGATAGATAGTGGTATCAAGTATTATAAGAAGAGAAAATTAAGTCAAATCGTGATTCAGTCGTGAGTCGGCTAAGATGTGTCTCTATGTACATTTTTTATTTATATATGTGTTCTGTTTTATATAATATTTTTGTGTTGTGTTAATATTTTTTACAGAGTTTTCGAGTGTAATTAAATATATGTGTTATTTTTGTTTGTTAACATTTAACAGAGTTTTTGTGTATTAATTTATATATATATATATATATTAAATAATAGTATTGCGTCTTCGCTCTGTTCCTGTGGTTGCCTGTTTGTTATTCTCACATATATATATACATGCATATAAATATATTTTTGCACTTATACACTTTATATTGTAGATATTTTATTATTATTATTATTATGGTATTGACAGCATTAATTCATTTGACTTGTAATTTTCAGTCTGTGCATCTGTTTTGCCCGATTGACTGTGATTGATAAGCGGGCAACCGACCCGTAGAGTGCTGTCTCTAATTCATAATGGTTGAATAATATTGTAGATTATATAATATATTATGGTAATGGCTGTATTAATTTATTTGGTTTTTGTAATTTTTAGGTTGCGCTACCGTTGTGGTGCCAGAATAACAACTAAGCTAGAGATTGATGGTAGTCATCGCTATTGGATTTATTGCACGGGAAAATTATTTTCATTTGTTAAAAGAAATTTATTGCTATTGACTTTTCTTAAAATAGAGTTCATTTTTATACATTTTAATCAATTTACTTAGCATATATTAATCATTAGTTTGATTTGAATTTCATTTATTGGTGCAATTTGTACTACATCAGCCTATACAATCTCTCTCTCTATATATTTATATATATAAGTTTATAGTTACACATATGTACTTTTTTTTTTAATTAATTTTTTGTTGCGTGTACTACATTTATATTTGTGATTCCATTTATGATTATTTTATTTTATATTATTATGGTAATGGCAATTTTAATTATTTTAATTTTGTAGTTTTTAGACTTGCATCTGTTGTGCCCGTACGAATACGCTGGAAATCGCTGTTGGTTTAGTATTTATTACAAGGGTAATTTATTTTGTTTCCTTAAACAATAATTAATTGTCATGATTTTATTTCTCTCAAAGTTGAGTTCGACTTTTTACATTTTAACCGATTTACTTTGCATATGTTAATCATTAGGTTGTTTTGTATTTCATTTATTAGTGCGATTTGTACTACATCAGTATACAATCTCTCTCTCTCTCTATATATATATATAAATATTTACACATATATACTTTTTTTTTCGTGTACTACATTTATATTTGTGATTCCTTTTATGATTATTTCTTATTGAATTGTGTTATTGACAATTTCATAGCAGTTGTAGTAATAATATAATTTTTATATTGTAGATATATTATTATTATTATGGTAATGACAGTATTAATTCATTTGACTTGTAATTTTCAGTCTGTGCATCTGTTTTGCCCGATTGACTGTGATTGATAAGCGGCCAACCGACCCGAAGAGTGCTGTCTCTAATTCATAATGGTTGTGTAATACATATACAGGTAACTGATTTTGACTTATTTTATTTGAAATAAATTTAATTACTTTGCCTGCTTTGATTATCGGTATTTTATTTATTGTTGATTACAATGTAGTAATGTGTACTGCATCGGCCGATAAGATCCAAATGTTTTTTATTTTTTCGTACGTGCATATTTATTTATATTCAGTTTTGCGATTATTTATAGAATTGTGTGTAATGGAGTTCATCTTATTACATAAACGGCAATTGTAGTTTATATGAATATCTTTACCGATGAAAGTATATTGGCAACGACGTTATTATTTATTAAAATGTGTATTTGATAATCGTACGACATATAAAATATTTAAATCTTTTTTTTTCTCCTCTATTATAATAGTGACCGTATTAATAATTAATGTGATTTGTAAATTTTAGATTGTGCACGGTCTTTGGTAAAGCTACAAAATTTTCACTTCTGTTGTTGTACTCACGACATGTTGATAGTTCTGTGCTACTGGTTTTTATTTTTGCCTATGCTTGCCCTCCCTTACTGTTTGCCGTTCTTCCAAAATGGTACGTTTGAGTCTCTTATCAATCCGTATTTTTCTAATAATAATTATATCAATTTGTACTTCGAGTATATTACTTCAATAAGAACGAAATTTTTTTATGTGTGTGATCGTGACAATAAATAAACATTAATTAATAAAGAAACATTTATTTATTTTTATTTTTAAAAGAAACTAATATCCTATGTTTACAATATTATTTACCATAGGTCAAAAAATAATAAATTATTTTAATAAATAATTAATAATTTAATAAATTATTAATTATATTAATGCATTCAAATTATATTTCGAGTACTGTATTTCAATATGAATAAAACCTTTTTTTATGTGGGTTGTTTCCCAATAATGCAACATGATTTTTCCTATTTATAATATTTTTTTTATTTGAAAAAATAATAATTTATTATGTGCGATATTTTTAAATACATTAAGATTTCATTATCTGATATAAAAAATATCGTATCAGATTTTACATTTTATGCATGGCAATTATTGTACACGACGACTCTCTTACTTAGTCAATTATTATACATTGAATTTCCAATTCGTAATCGTTTTGTTCGAAAGACAAACAATTCACTATTGTATTATTTTAAAAATTACGAGTTTAAAATTTATTTACTTAGCGCATACTTGGAATATTCGTATTTGCCTACTCCATTTAATACATTCAACGTACTTTAATTTCGAATACTCTACTTTAACATGAAATATTAATCGGCTTTAGTGAGTATTCTACTTCTGTATATTTCCCTCCACGAACCCAATCGGCGCGCCGTAATCCGTAAACCATCTTCGTAATCTATTACCTATTCGACGCGAGTGACCGTGTCACATGCCCGTCGCGCAAACGACATACTGCCGCCAATGCCTTTTTCAAGAATGCGGTTGACCGTTATCATTACCGTATGTATTTATCCCCGTAAACCTTACTTTTCAACTGACGCGTTGGGCGCGCTACCGATTTCTCCTGTTATTGTTCATTGCAATGTATCCGGCGCAGCCGAATACCCCTTTCTGTAATCTGTTACCTACTTAATAACCGGCTTTTGCCGCCCCTTCTCTAGATCGCGGAGCAAACCCTTGGTTTCCGTAGCGAGACGTACGTTCAAAACGTTTGGACTTGATTTCCGAAATCATCTTATACCGATCCAACTTCGCTTTTGCAGCTTCTGCTAGATAAGGGGACGGGTTTGGATTTGTTGTGGGGTGGGGTTGCAATTTTTTTCCGTAATCAACTTAATTAATTTAATAAAATATATCAAATGACTAGTTAAAAAACAATTATGTTTTATATAATTACAAGTGTAAGAAAAAAACAATCATTGACTTATACCACAAAAGACTAAAATACATTGAAGTGTAAATAAAATTATAAATATTAATATAATTCAATCTTATGAGTTATTCTAATTTTTTATTTAATGGTAATTGTGAAAACAAATCATACGTTTCTCTACAAAAAAAGTCAAAGTTCATTCATATATTCATTAAATTTTACAAATTCCCTCTTAAGATCATTGTATTCTTTGCTATAAGTTTGCTCGTGGGAAGACTGTTTGGATAAATACACAAGTTCTTTGAATAATTAGAAATATACAAAAATTATTCATTTAATGTCTCATTAAGATATATTGCAATATTGAAGGTGATAATATTACTAATACTGATATAATATTGATATTTCTAGTATTCATATATCAGAGGAATATATATTAAATATTGTACCATTTTTATGCTTAAGCAAAAGGAATATTGCAAATCGTAAATTACTATTGTGTTTAACTTCGTGTATTAATTTTCTTTTGACATGATTTATTTAATTTTGTATTATTTTAAACTATTTATTACTATAGTACCATTTTTAAATTGTGACAGTCGATAATTATTGACCATTTCATTGAGAAACTTTTTTAAAATTAATTTACTTTATTTAATAATATAATTATTATTATTATAAAATTGTTAAATATTATAAAATAAGGTATTAGATAAATTTATTTCATATATATATATATCAATACATATATTTTATGTATTGATATTTTAATAAACCATAGCCTTATAATTATAAGGCTATGGTTTATTAAAGGTCAACTAATTGTTTCCTAGGGGTTCCTCTAATACAGAATGATTCTTATATCATTGTCCACTCAATATTTCTCAAAATAATAATTTTAAAATTTTCATTTTGAATTTTTTTAGTTACATATAATTGTGCTATTATATATTTATAAATCATCCTAAACAGGTCGTGCATGGACAGACCTGAGACGTGACATAAGGAAGTTTCTACAACGTCCCAAGTTTGTCTTAATTTGGTCAAAAGAGGATTATAGAATGAGTCTAAGACAGTCTGATTATCTCAAAAGACCGACTTGCGACGTCTCTAAAACGTTGTTAGGGTTAAAAATTATTTTTTATATATTTTATATTATTCTAATATATACTTGTTAACTATGCGATGACCCACCGATCTGGGTTTTTATTTATTCTTTACTCACAATAATTATGAAAACTGGCGATCCGAATATTATGTTGAATATATCACACTTCAATATTTTTCTAATATTCAGATATTAAAAAAAAATACATTGTAACGCAATTATAATAAATTTCAAATTTTGTTAAATAATTAAATCATAAAACCTAATAGGAAATGACTCATACATAAGCAGTATAAAAGTTTCTCATAAGAAGACGGTTAATACAACACGTAGGTAATACAATAAAAATCAGGTATTAAACTAATACATTAAATACAATCGCCAACGACCATACCACGTTAAATACATCAGTTCTCCGATCACTGAAGTTAAGCAACGTCGGGCGTAGTTAGTACTTGGTTGGGTGACCATTTGGGAACACTGCGTACCGTTGGCATTTTTTTAATTCTTTTTTCACTTTTTGTTTCATTACATTTTTTAGAAAATTGATATCTAAATAGAAATTTAACTTAGTGTAATCAATAATTTCGTATATTTTAGTTGAAAATACGATGAACACACTACACTACCCTTTATCAATGATAGCTAATATTAAGTATAATCTGTTTTATTTTTGTAAATTAATATTATCATCTTATTTATGATATCGCAAATACATAATTTATTTATACTATATTACGATTTTTATAGAATATATTTAATGTTGGCTTTTTCTTAAAAAATGATTCTCATTTTATTTTACAATCACACTTCTAAAAAGACTTAAGGTAAGCACTATATATGATAAAATTAAGTACACCAGGAAGTTGAATTTTTTTTTTAATTAGGATTATTTGGAGAACTTGGATGGGCGCCCGTTTGGAAACACTGCGTGTAGTTGGCATATATTTTTAGTACTTTTATAAATTTAACTTATATTTATAATAAATTACAAAATGGTTTGATGAACATTTATAAATTTTTAATCTAATGGACTATTTTTGAAATTATCTCTTCTTTTTTTAAAATGTAAATTAAAAACCCCAGCACAGTGGTGACGTTNAAAAAAACCCAGCACAGGGGGGTCGCGGCACAGTTGTGACGTGGTATAGTTGGATCAAGTATAATGATATCTGACTGTGATTAAAATCACTATCAAAAATAAACGCTTCGATGCAAATCTTTTGATAGTGTTTAATTTTAAAAAAATTGGTGTTTTATTCCAAAAGCTACATGATCTGCTAGTTCATTATTAATATCTCGATTAAGATAAAGTATGTCGAATGAAAAGGGTTTATTAAAAAATATTATTTCTCATAAAAAAATTGTGTGGATCCATAAACTTTTCAATAAGTTATAGCATTATACAGTTAAATATAATATAAATAATAAAATCGAGAATTTTCACACGAAAATAGCATTCCGTAGCCATTTTTGCCGTGAAGACAAGTCCAGAGGTCAAATTTTTTTTTTCAAATTAAAGTATATTACATTAGCATTAGTTTAAGATATTTATAAAAGTGTCAGACCTTCCGGAACATTTTCAAATGTTATGTTGAAAAAGTTGTCATTTCAAATCCCCCCCTGTAGGCAGGTTAAGTGTCAGATTTACAAAAAAAATATACCAAATGATAGGTAAAGACATCAAGCATCTATATAAAAAAAAATTATATTGATATGTTCATTTTTGAAAAAGTTACGGCACATTTTAGTAAAAAAAATTGAAAAAATTTCGAAAATTAGCGATTTTTAAATTTGTAATTTTTTTGGAGGTTTCCCCCATTTACGGGGAACGAGGGAATTTTTTTCAATTTTTAAGGGTAATGTCTTCGACTAGATACGATTTGTGATCTTTTGACGTATCGTTGAAAGAAATCCGTTCGGTGAGAGCTGAGAAAAAGTGGTAACAGACACAAAAAAAAAAAACACATCATCGTAAAACCACTAACTTTTCAGCTTCGCATCGAAGCTAAAGATGAGTCCGTTTCATAAAATGAAAACTATTCTTTAATTGCGTTAGAAATTAAATAAAAAAATAAGAACATTTTACAAGTGTTTCTATTCATAAGCAAATAACAGTAGATGCATTCATTATCACATATTTATTTGAAGTTTTGTTTCTATGATTACATAACTTATTATTAAATAATCAAGCGTGTAATTAATTTTTTCACGTTTTTTTTCAATATTTGAATAAATTGATAATATTTTTGTAGAAATGGAATTCGTGAGTGATTCTGATTCAAGCTTTGTCTTGGGTTTAAAGATAAATTCTTCGTATGCTATAATAATTAGTTTCGACATTTTATATTGTAAAGAGACAAATGTATGATTCAATATTATTCATTTGCTATGGGTTATGAAATAGGTAACGTAAAGTATGGCTATACGTATCATTTCACCATAAGAGCTGTAGATGAACACGATAGACGTGGATGTAGTCAACAAAAACATTAGACAGTCAAGTTATTAAGTTGGATGAATCTCCAGTTAAAGTTCCTTTGACACCCAATATTCAGGTTAACACTTGTAAAACTAACACTGCGTCTTCCTGTACATACTATCATATATCATACATAATTCGATCTTGTCCAGTTATACGGCCAAACATTAATAGAATGTCGAAATGTCTTAATCGCAAAAAGAACGATCAAAAAGTGTATCCGCCACCGTTCCCTGTTGAAAACGAGCCGGGCCGGAATAAAATCCCACCAGTGCCTATAAGCCTTAATATAAAAAAGAATGAAATGCTCTTGATGCTTCAATGGGAAATAGAATTAAAAAAATGTCATGAGGAC